TCCAAAGGCGATCATATTTTTCATATGATGGTATTTCAAGGGTATTATTTTCTATGAGCTTTTGCTGTCAGGAGTAACAGTTGATTATACTTAGTTAAAAAAAATATATAAAAATAAACTCCCAGAACTGGCCTATCGGAAGAGTGTTGTTTTCCACAAAGAAAATTTTTTTTTGGGTCCTCCCCTTCCTCGCCTTCAAGGCTGTACGGGGTTTTCCCGGGCCAGGGGGTGTGGACGGGGATTTAAAAGACTCCCCCATCACCGGGACGCGAACTCGTGACTATTTTAAATCCATTGTTTCATAGATCAGGTTGCGGGGCAACGGCGGTGCTGTGCACACACGTTAGCCCGTTCGGACACCCCGTCCACACTCCACAAAGACAACTCTAGGTTCACCCCATTGGTACCTCGCAATAAATTGCGAGTAAGTAATAACTTGAGTTTTGGAGGAAATCTTTTGTCCCACCCTCTCATTAACCATGCTCCAAGCGACTACCGGTTATTTCTGACTCTGCAGAGCTTCATGAATCGAAATCAATGTTGAAGCGAACAAGGTATCAAAAATCACTTACATCAGTTTTTTTACAATGAACTCTGAAACTTCCAATATATTGTAGATAATAAAATAAATTTTATACCGGCAAAGCTCGTGTGCTCGTGCGAGTTCTTTCGGACCCTCATTGCCATTCCTTATTTCTCCTTCAGTTAATTATCATTTTTTTTAAAATTATATTTAACCATTTTTTATTCCTGATTATAATGTGAAGAGGTTAGTTATTTCAATTAAACAAAATCAAAGGTACTTCAGAGAAATTAATTTTGGAAAATTAGGCTATTAAGGAATGTTAGGCTGTTTCAATGAGAATAACACCTATCCAATATTTAAAGACAGCTTTATTTTACACCGATATAATAATTTAATCAAAATCCATATAGCAGTTTTTGTGAACATTTTAAAAAAGTGCAAACTCGATTATATAAAGTTTTACATCCGGTCAGTCGATTTTAGCGAAAAGGTGTTATAACATCCAACGCATTAATTTGTAATAATTTCAATTTCTTATGACTTTTTTTTTTGAGCTAGACTGATGACACTTGCACACATACACGCGCGCGCGCGCACGTAAGTAAAAGTAATACTGCTGCCTAGGGCGAGATGGTTTAGTGAGAGACTAATTACTTACCTGTTCAATTATATTTACATTTTAAAGCGGAACGGACTGGGTGAGGGGCTGTAGAAGTGGATGCTGTGTTTGATGCTTATTTTTAGAGTAAGATTTTGCTTAATTTATCCTAAAAGCATATATTATTCTTGCGCCATGTGTCGTTCATCATCTCCTTTCCACCATCGTGTACTGTGAGTATGATAGTTGTATTGTTGTCTGGCCACTGATTCGTTTAATTTAATAAAGATGTATTCTTTGCCCAGATATGATTTAGGAAGAGGATAGTGGAGGATCAATCACCATAATGTGGACCATCCATTAGCGAAAAGGGAGCGAGGTGCAAGGTGTTCTAAAGTTAGATGCGCGCCACTAGCTAAAGATAACAAATCAGATCAGTTTCGAGAGAGGATGTTTGAGGCGATAAATAAACCTAAGTTGGCAGCACTGGCTATGACGTACATAATACAGTCGTCTTTTACTTGTTACTTTTCCGACCTCTTTGTATTTTCTACCTCAAAGCTTTGCTACATCATCCTACTGGGTGGTGTTTCATTACCTTTGCCAAGATATTGCATATCAATTATGCAAAAAGATTGCATTTCGCTATGAATATATTATGAACTACAAGTTGGCTAAATTGGAGCGAGGAAGGGGAGGACAAAAAAAAAAAGTTGGCTTAATTGAAGCATTTACTCGTGAAAATAGTATTCCTGTAAATTATTGTGGCTGCGCCAACATTCAGATACAGCCTTTCCCTGGATGGAAGGTGTTTTTTTTTTTTTTTTTTTTTTTTTATGGTTAACTAATTTATTTTTAATAATGGGCAAAATTAATATGTTTATTTGACGATAAAAGTTTTAATGAACTTAATTTTTAATAATTCCTGTGTTTTGAAAATAGGAAAAAAACCTCTGAAGCTTAAATAAAAATATTTTGACTTTTTGACCAGATAAGTAGAATGAATCGAAATTGAGATTGTTAACCTTCATCTTTCATACAAAGGAAAGAAAAATACCACATATGAAGTTTAGGAAAATGATAAAAAATCATAACTTTTATATTTTTCCTTATACAAACGAAAAATAATAATATATTTTACCTTATTATACACGGAGTAAATCAGTCACCAGTTACAACTAAGCTCCTTTTGAAATTTTATTTATTTAGGTGTGCAGTTGAATCATATTTCGGAAAATGTCTAGTAAGTTCTTATTAATAAATGTTAATACTGATATTGTTTTAAAAACAAAAAAAAACTTGTACCCATGAAGTCTTGGTTCACTACTTAGTAAGTAAGTACTATTTCTGGGCCAACGGTTGTGCAGGGAGGTGATCGGGGCGGGCTTACGCCAAACTTCCTTGTTATTCCCCGTCAATAAATTATTTAATTAGCACTTTGTTGACCGGCGATTTCAAACAGAATCTATGTCTTGTCGTCGTCGTTCAAGAACGCCTGGGTATGAAAACATCCTATCCACTGAACTACCACGATATTTTTCGGAGTAATATTATATTTTAATATTAATATAATTTTTTAAATATTTTTCCAAGTCGAAAATATTTTGTTACTGAAATTAATACGTAATACATAATACCTAGTACATAATCAGGAGGCTGTTGGTGAGTCCAAAAATACGTTGTGAGAAATTAAAAATCAAGGAGAAAGAAATGTTATAATCTACATAACGAAACATAAATCAGCTGATGAAGGATATGAATCAATGGATTATCTAATGAATGATATAAGCCGTAAATTCATATGTGAACGCATTTAGTATAGACACACATGTTACATAAAAACATGTTACATCCTTTTTTCGTAAAGGAGACTTTTAAACTTGTTTTTCGTAAAAAATATGACTTGAATTCTTTTTACCAAGCCCCAGGAAATTCTAGCAGTGACAAATCCATTTTACATGTCTGATCATAAAACCTATTGTCAAACTTTCACACACATCATTACCTATCCGTCACGAGTCTCATCTTAAATATTTCCAACTTAAAATACTTATCGATTTCAAATTAGATCTGTGCATGATATCAATCATAATTGTGATGTTTTCAGAATTTTAGAAAATTCTTTTTCCTTTTACTTGAAGATTTTCTAAAACTTAATTTGACAATCTTAGTTATTATACGTTAATAATTGGTATAACCAATATACTTTTATATTATACCAATATACTCCTCTAATTTTTCATTCGGGCATAAGCAACTGCAAGACCAAGACTGGCCTCGGTTTCGCATTTGTGCAACACTAGTGGCAGCAAATTTAGCCATCGATGCTAAAAGAACTAGATGGCCACAAACATTTTCCTTTTCCTTTACCTTTCGATCTGGAATTCGAGATTTGGGTTGTATGTTCTTCGGAGCAAGGGATGTAGACAAATATTTTCAGTGTTATTGTCATCAAACCTTGGTGCCATTTTACTATCATTAAGTTTTATAATGCTGACCTAGGTCACGTAACTGACAAACTTTTTCCTTTTGTTTTATGAAGCATGGGTTTTCTGTAAGATAGGATCGAAACAATTCTTAGGGGTTTAACGAAGGTCTTGTCCCTTTGAGAAGGACCTCTGGAACAAGGATACTTCTTGTTGGGTATTAAAGGTCCAGATCAGGCGCCACTCCCTCCTAAAGATGTTCCAGATATTAATTCGAAAACTGCTACAGCGATTATTTTTGCCAAGATATTCTTGGGCCAAAGCCACCATAATCCCGGTTACCGATAAACTTATGGTTAATTTTGTTTACGGTCTGACCTCCTTAGGTGTACAGGACGTTTTCCGTTGTATAAATCTAGCTGTATTTACCTTCCTGTTGTATTTTTCATTAATTTTCTCTGCGACCTAAATCTAGGCCATTTTGAAGTTGTTATATTTAACATTTTATTTATTGACTACAAATAGGTTAGGAAGGAAGGGCTATCCAATAGGTTACATTTCATTCTCACCAGAACGAGATTTACTCTGATTCACATTTAATTCGTAGCTTTGCCTCATGAAATGCCTCTTTTAGGAGTGGCATTTATAAAGTATGAATATATAACATAAAATTTAGGTAATGGGTTGATAGTTGATATTTGTGGAGCCACAAGTGCCTGTCTCAGTTGACCTATCAAGGGCTTGTTGCATTTCTGATTTGTTTGTTTCTTTAGACGTCTATATGTTGTTGTTCTTTTATATAAATATAACCAAAGGTATTTGCGGTTTAGTTCTAGGTCGGACGGTACGGTATTGGGATTTAACGGGGAAATAAAATAAGAATCGTAAATCATCAACAAGACTATATCTTTACCCCTAATCCTTACTGTAGAGCGAAGGCCAAATGTGTGTATTAAAAAAAAAATCTGTAGACTTCAATATCGATTTTCTACAAATTTCTGTATTGTATTTAATTTTATTTTCAAGTTACGTTTACTTGTTGTTTTTTTTATAGTTTTTGCCTTGTTATAAAGATTTTTATTTATTTGATTTTTTGTTTTTGTATTGTATCCATGAGCCTCACTCAGCTATAGTACTCAGTACCCTTAAGTGTGGCAAAATTTATTATTTACCAATAAAAAGATCTGAAAGAAAAACAACTATTAGCATAAACGATCCAATGAGCATGGTGGAGTCGTATGTATTTTCAAGAATTTTCGATTCCACGTAATCGACCGTAAAACGCGAAAGTGAAATTCGATTTTTCGGATTGTAAAATTTCAAAAGGAGCTTAGTAATATCCGGCATCTGATTTACTCAAAGTAAAATATATTTCTAATTTGACTTGAAATAAAAGAAAATTAATGGTATAAAATTCCATAGGTGGTATTTTCTTTACTATAAATATAAGTTAATAGTGATATAGATTTCTATTTATTTTACTTAGTATTAGTAAAAATGTTAAGAATAATACAATATTTTCGCATCGGTAGTTTTCTGCCCATCTTCAGAACGTAACAATTGCTAAAAATTAAATATGCTGAAACTCATATCGTCAAATTGACATATCAGTTTTACCCATTATTATGAATAATTAGTTAAACGTAAACAAAGCTGGAAGTCTATGTGCTAAAAATAATGTTTTTATTCGTATTTCTGTAGCTTGATGAATTAGTTTGATCTGTAATAATAATAATAATAAAAGGCTTAGCGAACCCGAAGGTTCGATGCCGACACCACCAATCACTTATTACACACCTTCCTCCACCGTTCGCCGTCCAAACCTAGTCCCTTCAGATCGGCTTGAATGCAATCTTCCCACCTTCGCTTCGCTCTACCCCTTAGACGTTTGCCATTCGGTACAGCAAATATTAACCTTTTAGGAATTCTTTCGTTAGTTCGATCTGTACACTTACATTAGTTTGGTTACATTAAAAATGTCGTCAACTGAAGTTACTTATATCTGTACAGTGATTTCCTATTCTAATAGTTAGCAATAACTAAGTATCTGTTATTTTTCATTGTTTAGGCACAGCAAATCCTTTTTTGTTTCTTGGACTCAGTTGATTGTACATAAAAAATATTTGAAACCGTTTAAAGCTCCTCGCCGCGGTATGAGGCAGAACAGAAGATGCCTTAGGTCTTTTATTATAGCTACTAATGTTATTTTCCTTATATTTACTGTTGCATTTCGGGACTCATTAAATTATTGAAAATGTGTTTTCCGGACTCAAGGGACTCTGAAACATAATGATCCTTTAAAAAACCTAGCACAGGAAATTCGACCCTGATCGCAATACTTTCCTGACTTAGTTGGGTTAGGTAAGTAATACAATTATAAATTAAGAATTATTTATAAAAATTATAAATGCACCAGGAAGAAAATTTAAATTATTTACTACCTAATATAAATCTATTTCACCGTGAAAAGGAACATTGAACACCTATTATGTCCACATGACTTTTCACCGATTTTATATGGATTTCAACCAAAATACATTTATCTATTTAAAAAAAATGATAAAAATGTTTTTCAATATGGTTCTTGTCATTGTATCACTAAGTTATACAGCATTTAAAAATAAATGACGATCGGATATCATGTGTATCTGAGAAAAATCTCATATTTCGGATACGATGCAGTATTTCGGTATCTTCTTGTAGGACCAATAATGTTTTTCTCTTGGCAAAGACGAAAACAATGGCACAATAGCGATTTGAGCATACGACGAACCAGCTGGCAGATCAAAAAATATCAACTTTATTCAATATTTTTTCTGTATTGTAATTGTAAGGGACTTTTGAGTAAAGATTTCAAACAAGTTTTCATCTAAATCATTAAAGCCGTTATGGCGCTAGTCTATAATAATAATAAAAAAATCCGGCAATTGAATCGCACGCATCTGAGTCGAAAATCTAAAATAAAAAAAAAAACTCATTACTCAATAAAAATATAGTGATGGCACCGACACCCGACCTTTAGCCAAAAATACGATTTTTCGTGGGAGCACGGTATCGTTAAGATCTGCTTACAGCCGGATTTCGAAAACTGTATTGCAATTCTTTCCTTAAATTTATATTTAATAGATTATTAAGAGCCGAGTATATTTATATCAGAAATATTTAATGGTTACTTCAGATCTCAAAATGGCTATTGGCTTGCTATAGATAGCCAATCTGTTGTGCGCGTGTGCCAATTCCAGGAAAATAGAATGTTCTTTTACCTGTTCTAATTTAGGAGTGTTTTAATTTTGTTTGTCTAATTATTTGTTTCCATTTTTATCTCGTGAAAACAAATTAATAATAGTATTATATCTTTTTACTTTAAATATATGTAAAATATCTAATTGATATTTTTCATTTTCAAGATATTTTCGATTATATTTTTGAAATTTCATCATGTTCTGTGGATGAGGATTTGATATAGTCTTGGGTTTTTATCCGCACCATTTCTGATTTGTTCAAAATTGTAATGATTGATTGATTGATTGGTCCAAGGCTATCGACTTGTATGAATGTTGTAAAATGTCTTACGCGTAGCAATTCAACTGAAAAGCTGGTGTTTAGTTTCAATAAATTCTTTGCGATATTAATTTCCTACTATTGCCTTCTGCTTATTTTTAACTTACTAATCATCGTACTCACGAAGATATGTTGACTAAGACATTCAAAAATATATCTCTTCTTGGGTTGGGTACCGGAAATCGAATCCAATTCTTCAGGTTGGTGACAGTGACGCTTCTACTACTACTAAGTATAATATATATATATATATATATATATATATATATATATATATATATATACATAACATAAATTGTATTAATACAAATTTGGTTATGCTTGTACTCATTCTGGTACTGACTGAAACAATATTATTACTATGTCTTGCAGAAAATCCTCGTAGTGAACACCTTGAAGCTTCAAAACAAGGCTGAGGCCTTGGCAGCGACCATATTTTTTTGAAAAACCTAGCTTTCCGTGCAGATTGAAGGGACGACTACCTATTTTTAGTAACTGGAGACAGTTTGGCTCACAATCAACTTGGCGGCAGGTCGCTAATGATTTCTGTTGTTTTCTATGTTAAAACATACTGAATTATGAGGAGGGTGCTAAATTGCGAGTAAATTTTGTTAGCCATTATGTACTTCACTTCACACACGATTAAAACAGTACCATTACGAAATAGAAATTTTTTAGTCAATTATTTCGGTTTATTCTGATACAATCAGAATCAAAATATATTTTTACATTGAAACCCAACCTACTGATTATTGTTTTTTTCTAGAATTAATATTTTGAGTCTAATACGCTTTGGCCCAAAAATTATGGTGAACAAACTAGATTCGTTGCCCTTGAGTTCTCAATACTTCTATAAAATAATCTGGTATGTAGGTTATGTATCTCGGTTGTGGAATCCAGAAGATAGTTGAGGAGTGAGCTTGATATAGTATATAGATATAGTCACACCATTTGATCTTTTTGCTCGTACGTTGGTGTAGTGTTCTGGTCCAGGTGCCTAGGCTAAAATTAATCTATCATACATAATTATTGTGAATAATTATCGATATCCGAAGAAGAAGTATATTTTAGTGGAAAGTTGGTTTTCCTTTTCCCCAGTAATTGGAGGTCTGTTTTCCTCTTAGTGCAGTGACTCGGTAGGTGCAATGCTCACCTGGCACCCGTCAGCTAAGGTATTAGGCCGGCTGAATGTTTGCAATAACGATCGGTGTTGGCCAACGGCCGAGGAATCCGCATCGCAGGTGGTCCGATTTGACAGCATCGCAGGTGGTTCCGATGCCAGACCTCCTGGGAGTAGGGAGGGCTCCGTGCCAGCAATTGCCATTCAATGGTTTGGAGGAGGAAAGGAGGTGTACCTAGTATCCTTGGAATATTAAGAGTATGGGGAGTCCATTCAATGGGTCGGGAGGCCAGCGAGGAGTGGTGGCAGTCTGCCAAGAAGTGACCATTGAGGAGGCGAGGAGGGCAGGGAGCAGTGTATGAGTTGATGGGGAGGGAGTCGGGAGGAGGTGCCAGTTGGGAGTGTCCCTTGGCGTGCTCTGGATCGAGGATACATCTTTTCATTTCCTAACAGTTGAAGGAGACGCTCATAGGATTTAAGTGGAAAATCGCAACAATAATGTTACACTTCACAGGATTCATAAAATATTTGAAGGAAGAGATCATTGAAGCTATTATTGAGTATTAATGTTTGTCTCGTGACATCCCACGTCTGATCATTTTTTTTTTTCATTTACTTTAACAATTTTTAATTCATTGCTAAAGTTAAAAAGGAAAATAAGTCCTAAAATTGTATTTACTTACGTCAGTTGTGAATGCTTGCTGATCATTAATGATGAACGCATGTTGCTTTTAGCGGATTGATGATTCGCGCATCGATTTTATTTTCCTCTCTCATAGTTTCATCCCTTGATTAACATAGCGTCTTCAGCTCTATAAGAACAAAATTCCAGTCAACTGGTTAACGTATTTAGTGAAATGCTGGAGAAATGTTATGGTTAGGAAACTTTGTTTCGTCTTTTGTTGACAAAAAAACTCCATTAATGTGATAATCTATCTAGGTGATTTACTATTCCCTCAAATGTAATGGCTATTTCTCATAAAGATGTCAGAGCTCCTGCAAGACATCTTTAAAATAATACAGAAATATTAGATATTAAAATATTTAAACTTATATTGTTATTTATTTGTTACATAAGTTAATTTAATCTTAATGTCAAAGTTTGTTTTATCACTTATTACTTACATTATTCAAATCATCGCTTGAATGACCGACTCTTCACCTTCGTTGTTGCAGTTGCTTTCCTTGCATGCAGTCTCCGATGAAGGAGGTATAAAGATGTATGTGGTATCATCTACTCCTTTAAAATCTACCGGTATTATAGATAACAATAATATATAATAACTACTATATTGTGTAATTGATTGAGTTAAAGTAGCTTGGGAAAGGTTAATTTTGAGGGAGTGTTGTTAACAGCTCCTTTTTGTTATCAGTATCTGTTCAAACAAATCTACGGTATATTATGGCGTTCCACAAATTATTTTTTTTTTACACTGATCATCTACAGAGATTTAAATAGGTTCTGGAAACTCAGGATGCTCTCCATTGACGAAGGATACCATTGAGCTCCTAAGAGGTAATGTTTTTATAAGGGCTGGCTGAGGGGGATGTCCTTGGGATATAGCCAACTCATTGGCCGATGTGGGGCAGTGAGCTGCCATTGGCCTAGAGCTGGGGGCCGTAACTGTTACACGCCTTGTTTACCATGTGTCATTAACTGTTACATTTATACTCCGCTATATGTTACATTTTAATTATAACGCCGCGAATCATCCGCCTGACCTACTTTCATTAAATATTCTTTCTTTTCTCTGTTTGACCTACATCAGATCGACAATTTCTTTTGAGGGAGTTGATGAGCAAACTCTCTGCTCCGGATATCAATGAATTGTATCTTGACACAATATTCAAGGTAACTGATAGTTTAATAAATCACATTTTACTACTACCCGACTAAGCGAAGCAAAATGAGGATTATGTGTTTGGGTCGTCCGTTGAAAGCTATGTAACGCTTTTTTGAGCGAACTGCTGGATCGTTTTTTAAGTTTGGTGGCTCAAACTATTCTTCTGTGTGTTTCTCTGGACCCTCTGAATGTTTTAAAACACTTTGAGGTAAAATACTGACCCGTTATTAAATGAAATGTATGTTATCATGTTGCAAAAAGCTTTGTAACGCTGTTTTGAGCGAGTGGTTGAATCAATTTTTAAGTTTGATGGCTCACATTATTCAGAGCGATCCCCTGATTATTTTTAAACAATTTAAACTAATAATATTGAACCGTTATTAAATTAAAAGTATTTTACCAATTAAAAAAAAAATTATATATTATATCATTCGGCGAGGTCGCCTGAGAAAGCAAAAAGAGACGAGGGACCCCTAAAAGCTTTGTAACGCTAACGCTGTTTTGGACGAACGGCTAGATCGATTTTTAACTTTGACTGCTACAATTGCTCAGTTATCTCGTGAATGTTTTGAAACAATTTGAGCTCGAAATTCTGAAAACAATATTATTATAGTTTTAGTATCTCGATTATTAATTGATTTGAAATTATATCATGTAATCACATGTTATGAAAATGAATTGTTAATATTGTAAGAAAAAAAATATAAAAATATTTAAAAAATCCGACTACAGAAATAGAGAAATTGTATCTATCCTGAGGAAATATACTTCCTTATCTAATGATACATTTTGGTAGATTGATAGGGAAATTGACATCTATGAATATTTAGACTAGGTGTAGTAGTCGGGTTCCTATCACACCTCAAGACTCTATCGGATATTTACATGCACCAATAGATGGGACGAAATATATTTGTCTAGAGCCGTAATGTGTAGCACAGGCGGATCTACGGGGGGGGGGAGGCTTTCGGGCTGAAGCCTCTCCCTCCTCCCCCCCCCCCAAAATGGTAAAATATAACCATGTTTTATGGGAAAATATATTAAAAATTTAAATTTAACTCTGTACAAAAAAAAAATTAATTTTTCCAATGGATTTTTTGTTTCACTTATTTTATGAGTTCCACCTATTAAGTATATATCGCTACTGTTACTGCAAAAGGTCTTTTGTAATAATTTTACATTTTTATTCTATTGGTGACATTTCGTAAAATGTATGCAGCCACTAGCGGATCCAGGATTTAATTTGGAAGGGGGGGATTCAGCCCGAAAGCCCCTCCCCCCCAAAAAATGGTAAAATATAACCATGTTTTATGGAAAAATATATTTAAAAAATATCTCAAAGTATTATTGCTCGTGTAATTATATTTAAAAGGACTTAAGGAATCACTTAAACACCATTTAATATACATAGTTAGTTTCTTTCTTTTTTTCCAAAGTAATTATAGTCATTTTTATGAAAAAATAAAGCCAAAAATTAAATCCTGGATCCGCTAGTGGCTGCATACATATTACGAAATATCACCAATAGAATAAAAATGTAAAATTATTACATAAGACCTTTTGCAGTAACAGTAGCGATATATACTTAATAGGTGGAACTCATAAAATAAGTGAAACAAAAAATCCATTCGAAAAATTAATTTTTTTTTTGTACAGAGTTAACGAGACCAATATTTTTTTCTTATTCAGAACAAAACTAATTTAAGCTGGAATATAAAATATGATTGAAATTTACACAACTTTGATGATTACGGCGGAAATGGAAACCACGACGAGCTGATTGAACTTCAATAGAAATAAACAAAATCACAAATAAGACTTTTTGCTTCCTCGCTACCGAAGGTAGGGAAGCTTGTATTCGTGGGAGAGGTTAAAAAAAATTGTGTGCTCAGAATCGAAAATTTCCACTCGCGTTTTACGTTTCAGACATCAAGGGTCAAATTTGGTTCGGCGTCTGTCTGTCTTTCTTTAGTCAAATTGATGTGACGGGCATATCACCTACTTACTACCTTTCATCCGATTTTCAGGAATCGTGCGGGTTTGTGTCTAGATGGTCCCATATTAATTTTATCAAATTCCATCCACCACTTCTGCTTGCGCACGCGTAAATGTATTTTCATAGATATATCAATATTTCAGAAACGGATCATTCGATTTGGCTCAATGTTAGGTAAAAAGTTATTATTGGTGGAAAATAATGTATTATCAATTTTATTGAATACCATCCTCTTCTTTCTTTTATACATGCGCAAAGGTGTTTTTCTTGATACCGCGCCTTCGATTTGGCTCAAATTTAGAGGGACGTTAAGAATTGTTAAATGGATAATCAAGTATGTATTAATTTTATCTAATTCTATCTCCTATTTCCAAACAAAATATTTTCGCTTTTAGATCAGGAAATGTATTGTTTGATATATATCTATAGTTGGAAAACGGCTCGTTTGATTTGACCCAAACTTGGAGGAGATTTGGAGAATATTACAGAAATTACCTCGTATCAATTTCATTGAATTACATTTAATAATTAAAATTAATATAAATAATTTTTGACGATATAATGGCTGTGAAATGTGAAAGGTATTGCTCATATGGAGTGGGAATTAGGTTAATACAATATTTTTATGTAATTATAAAATTTTAACTTTTATTCTAAAAGTTAATTTATACTGTATTGTGTGGTAGATTTCAAACGTTACTGGCATTACACTTACTGCCGTTACTTAGATTTCGTGTAATTTGATTAATTTTTACTTTTTTTAGTTAATTACAAACGTCTGCAAAGTAAGGTCATTATACCTTCCTCACCGTTTTCATTCGTTAAAAAATATCTATATTACACGGCACAGGCGGATTTACGGGAGGGGGGGGCTTTCGAGCTGAAGCACCTCCCCAAAATGGTAAAATATAACCAAGTTTTATGGTAAAAAATATAAAAAAATTATTTCTTAAAGTATTATTGCTCGTTTAATTACATTTAATAGGGCTTCAAGAATCACATAAACACCATTTCATTTATGTAGTTAGTATCTTTCTGTTTTTCCAATGTAATTATCGTTATATATATGAAAAAAAAAAAGCTTCCGGGCTGAAGCCCCCCCCCCTAAAATTAAATCCTGGATCCGCTAGTGATGTGTAGTGAAAGGAATCCGACCATTGCACCAACTTTAATTATTCGTAGATGTAAATTTCTCTATGAATCTACTAAAATGTTTCAGTAGATATGGAAGTATATTATCTTAGAGAGGATATGATTTCCCAATTTCTGTAGTTTTTTTTTAATTATAATATTTTTTGGATGACGGAACCTCAATATGAGTCTCCATTCCAATATCTTCTAGGAAACAGTAACTGTATTTGTCTGTGGACGGTGGTGTTCGAGACGGACGGTCTTCATTTTGATTAGACTTAATCTTAACTTTCTCATAGTTGTTCTTTGCCTGCCCTCTTGAAAATGTATAATAAAAACAAAAATATTTTTTTGCATCCGTTGGAAAGATTGAATAATATGGAAAAATAGATGAAATTTGCTGTTTTAAGTACTGACAATGGTAGTGTTTGGGAGAAATTGTATGAGTTTATTAATTAACAAATAAGAGCAATAGCAATCAGCTCTTGGGCAGGAAGCCTAGAGATTGTAACGCTGTTCTAACCCAAGTGATAGTATCGATAATATTTATTTCTGGTGAACGTCGAAAAATAGTTATTCACCCAATCCAGTAGGAATCTAAACCTCACCGCTCTGTATAAGGCCTTCTTCTAACAACTCCAAAATGCGCCTAGCAATCACCGTCTGAATTATTCTAAGTTAGAAATATGGAACAATGTTATTTTTTTAGAAAGTTATTGTTCTTTAGAAAGCGTACCTTAGAATTGTACTCTGTACATGATGAATCAATGAGATTGTAGTCATTGGTTAATACTGGTTCGGGATTAATTTTATCTCAACATTTCATTAGGAAATTACTAAGAAAAGAAAAATTGAAAATTTAACATGTTTCCTTGGAAACAGCATGCGTGAAATACTTTTATATCTACAGGTTATTTAATTATTCGGACCTCTGGGAAAATAAAAGTACAATATAGTTTTTTTTTGTTCTCCATATGTTCATCCTCACCTGCCATAAGCTTGACAATAAGCAGACATGTTGTAACTGTTAAGAAAATTGGCATTTTAGGCATGAGTAACAATATAGTTATAAATTGTTTAGAGCATAAATATGATAATATATATATATATATATATATATATATATATATATATATATAATATATATATATATATATATATGTATATATATATATATATATATATATATATATATATATGTGTATATTTTAACCTGTTCTTACAAGTATTTAGCAACCTGCAGGCCTCCCCTAATTAAGAGGGTAATGGTCTGACTTCCCGCGGGGACAAGCCTTATTGTAAATACACATTTACTTTCCACTTGAATCGTAAGATAACTAGAGCATAAATTAGGGAATAAAGGTGGCCTTAAAAAATAATGAGCCGTTTGGCGTGACCTACATTCCCAAATTGTCAAAATAACTAGGTTATATAGGCCAAACGGATCAATATTTTTGAAGGCCATCTTTATTCCCGAATTTATGCTGAAGTTATCTTACTATTCAAGTGGAAAGTAAATGTGTATTTACGAGTTTTTAGTACTTTATTAAATAGACAAAGTTTGCCGACCTCCTGATTGAAAACGCCCTATTTCCGAAAATTTTCGTAAATAAAATATTTGTAGGTTACGATGAGATGAAGCTATTTACGAAGTTTCAGCCGGATGTAAATAATTTGATAAAATGGGGTCTGTACCACGGACTAATTGCATGGCAATGATGTTTAAGTAACACTGATTTTATCGCTGTTAGAGAAATGTTTGGGTATTAACTATTAGGAGAAAGGGAAAAAAATCAATTTATATGAAGATGTCAACAATTTAAATAAAACATGTTGTTCATCTGTAGATTTTTTGTGATCGTCTATTTTCGCTTTAGTTTTGGCAGAGGCTGCACCCTTGATAAATTTATTTGTGTAGGAACCTTTTTAACGTCAGTGATAAATTGGTATTAGCAAAGAAGGCCGTTAACCTCCATGGCTGGGGTATTCGTACTGGGTCGACACTCTGTCCTTTGTGTATGTGTGTGTATTAAATAAAATGTTTTCAATCAATTTTCAAAAAACTTTGCAACGCTGTTTTGAGGGAGAGGCTGGGTCGATTTTTATGTTTGATTGATCATATTATTCGATGAGACCCTCTGAGTGTTATGAAACAATTTGAGCTAAAAATACTGACCCTTTATTAAATAAAATGTGTTTAATCAATTCGCAAAAAGCTTTGTAATGCTGTTTTCAGCGAACGGCTGGATCGATTTTTGAGTTTAATTGTTCATATTATTCGGTGTGATCTCCTGAGTGTTTTGAAACGATTTGAGCTAAAATATTAAACCGTGCTTTAAAAAAATGTTTTATGCAAAACGATGATCGATTTGCTAAAAGATATGTAACGGTTCTATGAGCGGACGGCTGGGAAGATTTTTAAATTTGATTTATTATACTATTCGGTGAAGTCCTATGAATTTTTAAAAAGCGATACGACACGAGGGTCATGTAAGTGTCCGCTAAAAGGTATGTAACGATTTTTCGAGCTTAAGCCTGGAACGATTTTAAAGTCAGATACTTTAAATTATTCGGTGAGGTCCCGTGAGTATTCTGAATGATTTGAGCTCAAAATTCTGTGAAATTATTGTTTAGAGTGTGTTAAATCAATTCGCTAAAATGTACGTGACGATGTTTTGAGCGGACGACCTGAGTTATTTTATTTTATGGCCTAAGTATCTCGATTATTCCAGCCTGCCAGTTTTCCTCAATAGTTTGTAATCTTTCTTTTGGCTGCTTTTATTATTTTGTTTGTATTTTTCCTGGCGGCTGTGTATTTTTCCAGCATAGTTTGATCAGTTTGTTAGCAGAGGACTTTTCTTGTTACTTTTCTTCTTTCCTTCACTGCCTTTTCGCATGCTTCTGTGAAGCATTTCTTGGCTTTTCTTTTATTCCTGAATCCCTATTACTTCCTTAGCTGTTTGTTTTAGCCTGACCATAGTGCTCCCAGTGTTGGTCAACCATGAGGCCTTCCGTGTTTTTTAAGGGTTCGAATTTATTTTTCAGGTCAATTTCAAATTCAGCTTGTACTATAGGGTTTTTCAAATTACGCACTTCGTACCTCTTTCTTTCCAATTGGTCTACAATTCGATGGATTCGCTTCAGCCTCTGACAGAGTTTTATTTTCTAATCAGAGTATGGTCCGAATCACAGTTCTGCTCCATGATAACTCCTTATGTCTTGTATGGAGCTTTGATGCCTCTTGTCTATCATCACATGGTCGATTTGGCTTTTTGCTCCTTTAGGACTTACCCATGTATACTTATGTATGTCCTTGTGCAGGAACATCGTACTGCTCACTACTAGACCTTTAGCTGCTGCTAGACTAATACTATACAGACTAGACTAATATCATGTGATCATGTGTTATGAATATAAATTGTTAATATATTAAAAACGCTGCAAATTATTTCACTATGGTTTATTATCTCTAAACAATTATACATCTAAAGTAACATTACCTTCCGAGTTACAAAGAAAAAAAAAAACAAAAGGTGATTCCAATTATTGGACTAAACTGTTTTTCTTTAATCATTAGTAATATGCTAAAAAAAAATAGCATTAGTTCAGTAACACATTTAAAATTTAAAAACCAAACCAAGGATATAACATTTGGAGTAAAACACATAAAAAAAAACCGGAGACCATATCTTTGCTCCTAATTGTCCGATTTTAACGAATTTTTTTTGTTTTTTTTTAGGAAATTTCATAAACTTTTAAAAAACTATATACAATATCAACAAAAAAGTATACGAAAAACTTTTCGAGTTATTCGGAATTTAATTTTACCACCTCTCGTAACTTTTTTTCCAGCTTCTTTTCGTTGAAGTATGTTATATAGATAAATTTAAAGGGCATCGAGAAAATGACTTTAGCGAAGTTTCATTGAAATCTGTACATTCGTTTAGGAGCTACAGTCTATAGCAACGCAGGATTTTCGGCCGCCATTTTGAAAGGTAAAGGCGGAGAGTAATGTCGATGAAGGAGGATCATCCTCGGGTGACATCTGATTTTATATTAAAATTTGAAGAAAAAATCAGTCCGGTAGTTTCGGAGAAAATGCGCGGACGGCAGACGGCGGACGGACAAAAAAATATTTATTCGTTTTTCGAATTCTACGCGTCTTGAAACGTGAAACCCCAAATTTTGAGAGGGGGTTATGTTTTTGAATTTTTTGGTCGATCACAATGTTTCATTATTGAAAATAATAAATCAAAATTTGAATTAAAAAAAAAAAACGACTACAGAAATTGAGAAATTCTATCCATCCTAAGGGAATATACTTCCATATCTACTGAAACATATTTGTACATTGATAGACGAATTGCCATCTACGAATGTTTAAACTTGGTGTTGTTCTTAACAGGAGTGACCAGAAGGGGTGCCAATTGCGGCATCAAAAATTTTGAGGAGGCATATTTTGATGGAATTTTTGAATGGGGCACATTTCGACGGGTTTGTAAATTTTCGAGAGGAAAAGTTTCTTAATAAGGGGCATGAGGAAAACATGTAAGTGTAATTGTATGTAATCTACGATTTTTCTAATTATACCTTCGCTTGCTCTGTGTTTGAGAAAATGTAAGCAATAAAATATCTTGGGACTGAGGGTTAGGCTATTGCGCCATCGGGCTTGGGGAGAATGGGCACCCCTGGTTTCTATCTTAACACACCCCAATCGTAACTGAAGACTCTTTCGGATGTTGACATGCACCGATACATGGGACGAAATATATTTACCTAGATCACAACACCAACTTTAATTTTCGTATATGTAAATTTCTCTATCAATCTACCAAGATGTTTCAGTAGATATGGAAGTGCATACATTCCCTTCGGATAATTTCGCCGTTTCTGTAGTCCGATTTTTTTATTTTCAATTATACTTTCGACCGATATTATACTTCCAATGCATAATTTGAATTAAGTAGATTTCCTGTCGCTATTGTATATATGCATTAAAGTTTGAAACTCCCCCCCCCATGTAAACATTCTAAAATTGCTTCATTGAAATAATTTGATTTGATTAATTGTCGTCACCTAGCAATTAAGATTAATATAGAAGGGAGAATATTAACGTGTGGATAACGCTCAATAAGAAGGGAGAAATTAATATTCTTTGCTAACGAATGGGTTATCTATGCCACCAGAAGTCTGTAATATTCCACATATGCGTAATTAGAATTTGATATGATTATCATAAAGTAATAAAGAGGGCACATGTAGTAATAACCACATATGATCGTATTCAGATGATCTCCTCAATATGTGATTTTCCCTTTGGAAAATCAGTAAAAAAAATCAAACATGTTTTACTATTTGTAGTGATAATACTCTGAATCTCTGATATAAACGTGGATGTTTTGAGGCGTTATGTTAACTCAGTACATGTTCGGTTATGATGTTGGAAGCATATCTGTAATAGATGAATATAACAGATAGATGTTCCTAACCTTCAAACATACCCGTTATCATCGGTTACTATTGTATGAAGGGAGTCATTGTTGATGGTCCTTTGCATTGTACCTTGTGCTGCGTCCAAATCATACCGCTGCGTCCAAGAAAACTTTTCTCCAGGACTCCAATCGGCAATATATGGATTCTTCCGTGATTCTGATAATGAGGGTCCTTACCCTTGCAGATCAAATGGTGGTTTAAGAGAGCCGTTCTCCACTCCATACGCCCAACGGTATCGTAATTATCCAAGTAACTAATAACAGCTATGCCGTTATAACCTGCCTCCACGCTATAAGATCCATGTGCACATCCATATGACGCATCCACCTAAAATCACATAGCAATGGGAAAAAATAATTAAAAGAAACAAAAAAGAAAACTACAGACGTTCGAAATCTAATCCAGATATGGACTTAAATAAAAAAGATAACACTAATAAAGAAATAAAAAATGAAGGAACTGATGAAATTCCTAGTGCTACGAAGGACGAAAATGATATTACAAGAAAAGATGAAAACGATAATAAAACAAATAATGAAAACGATAGTACAAAAAATGATGAGAACAATGTTACAGTAAAGAATGAAATCATTATCGTTATAGGTAATGAGGTAAGGTGAAAATATATATAATGGTAATAATAAGATATAGAAAACATAAAGTTTCAATACTGATACAATAGCATGCGTAGTTTTGTCATAATTAAAACCATAGGTCGCTAGTATGATTTCGACACTCCTGGAAAATTACATCATGAGTGCCCGCTTCTCAGCAAAAAAAAAAAAGAGATATATATATATATATATATATATATATATATATATATATATATATATATATATATATATATCGTTAATGTTAGTGCATAATGTCGTATGTAAAAATGGAGTTTTTTTAAAGAAGAGTATAAAAAGCTATTATTTCATTATCGTTTTAATAAAATAAATAAAAAATAACAGTAGCGAAATATGTATCTATATACACAGTCGCGGTCATAGAAATTTCATTACCGAGTAAAAATTTTATTTTATTTACCAGAATGATATCTGCAAGATCTCGTGATATTTCTTTGTCTGTTTTGAAACTATATTCTTAAAACGATCGCACATTAAGCGGTCAAATTGTTCGGCTTTTTTTTTCCTCCCAGTTCCTTTCTTCCGCTTCGTGGTATATTTATTTATTTTATTTTATTTATTAATTTGTTTATTATTATTATTTTAAAAGCTATAACTACCGTTGATTGGTGGTACCCTTTCCTCGTTACCGTTTCTCGTAAATATTCCTTCACTTCATTTAATATCACGATTTTAATATTTTCTTACGAGAACAGTTTTTTTAAACTATTCATAATTACATTAGTTAAAACTGAACTGAGGAACATTATTAAAGTTTTCTTGTAACATAAAAAAGTAAACCAAAACATTCAATGGAATCAATATAAGAATTAAAAGAAATAGGTAAAGCAATGTTAAAGACATTGTATATTACTTTATATTTGAATTGTAATTCATTCAATATGTCTTTAATTCAGTTGCTTAATTTAGTCTAAAAACTCGTTCATTTTTTATGATTTCCAACAAATGGCAGACTTCTCTCACTAGGATGGTCACCACTGGATATTATTATAGTCGTATTTGCTGGATAAAGGTTTAAATATATTTTCTCGTACCTAATAATGCATTAGCTATTGAACTAGTCGTTGCTTTTTAAAGTTTCTTTCTATTAAGAACTTACTTGTTATTAGGTCATGGTTTTTTTTTAAATTTCAAGTTATTTAATGACACAAAATTGATTCAAAGAATACTCCCTTGTGTTTTTGAAAAACAAAATTTAGTTTTCCTTCTACTACGGTTTAGATACGGAGAAATGGTCTGGATGATTTACGGTATTTGTTTTATTCCCCCGTAAAACCCCAATGTCCTCTGCGTGAGTCCTAGTTCGAAAAGATCTTTAGCTAGACCTTCTATATTTATAAAGAATAAAAAACTGAATACATAAATCATTCCGACAACTGGCTCTCAAAAGTTATCAAGCGGGCAGGCACTCGAAGAATTGCCGGATTTATTCCTTAACTAATGTTTGGAACGCTTTATTTATTATTTCATTATGCCTCGGTGCAATTACGAATATCTCTTTACTTAGATAAAAATAATACGAAAGAAGTAGAAACTTAATAAATTATAGCAGACCAGATTTTTTTTTTTGTATAGCGACTATCCTTTTTTTGTGTAAACATTAGAATCGAGAAACGATTCAAGATGACACTATTCACAAAATTTTCTTGTAAAATTAATCGGAATTGGTCTTAGTATATAAAATAATCTGAGTAATAAAATTTAGTTTTACAAAAGTAGTATTTCGTAGTACAATAGTATTTCGACGGCCACGTTGCAAAAACTAAAAATATTCTTTATAAAAAGAACTTCCGTTTTTACAATCAGAAGGGGGTGGTATTGTGCAGCAAATTGCCTCATCGACATTTTTAAGGGAGGCGCATTTTTATAGTGTGATTTTTTTAGGACATCAAATTTTTAAAATGTTTTGAATTTTATAGGGGAGCAAATTTTAATGGCGTTATGTGTTCTTGAGGGGCACATTTTTATGATCTTTTGAATTTTTGAAAGAAACAATTTGTTTTTCTTCAACTTTTCAAAACTGGAAACTAGTAAAAAACTTGTAATAGACACAGCCTGTGTAATTTTATATGATCTACATTTCTTAAATTCTACTTTCGCTTGCATTGTATTTAAGAAGAGGAAAGCAATAAATTTCTTTACCCCCCTGCTCATACCACACTTTTTAATGAAATTGTTGTTACCGGCTTTTGCAGCCTGACTCTCGACTAGTATTCAAGATAGTAAAAAGCTTATATAAAAAAAGATCTGTATTGAGTTGAAACATGAGGATTTTTATATATTTGGCATCTTTCATTTACTAAAATTTGAGCTCTTGTTTTTCAATAATCTTGCCTTATGTAGTTTAATGGTTGCTCGATTCGTACAGGAAAATGAATAGCATTTCGAAAGAGGTTAAATTTTATTCGATTTTTGTTTTTTAATTCAGTGATTTATTTACAAGTTTTTGAGTGCCATGTTCATAAATTTTAAACGATTATTTTATTGTTCATTAACGTTCTCACAATATCCACTCAACCGAATTGTATCATCGTATTTTGATAGTAACGTACATTTTGAAATATAGAATAAGTATTAGAAATTAACTTCAATTCCAGAAATTTGAAGAATTCCTCTCTTTGTTAATACAATGCTATTGTCAGTGGTGTAAAGACTATTTTTAGTGGATGTTATTAGCGAGTCAAGGCCAGAAACTTCTGTCCTGCAAGAGAGAGAGCTCTTCAGATTTTTACGTAACTACGTCATCTTCAAGAGACGTATAATTAATCATATAACGTATAATAATAGAGACGGATAATTAATCAAGTTACCAGCCCAGAGTCATCGCATGGTTGTAGGCGCCCGCCACGAAATGTAACGAAGCGCCCCCCCCCCCACACTCTTCCCAATCGGGCGTAGCCTATTTTCTCATGTTTGCTAGTTACGTTTACTACATCTATAATAGAATATTTATCTAGTGATGATATATTTCCATTATCTAACTAGTTTTTAATCTTTTTAACAACAGTAACTGGAACTGGGGTTAGAAATAATAATTTATATTTCACATGTTCTTTATTTAAGTAAAACAGCTCTAGTTGCGCTACTCACGCAAAGGCCCTGTTGAACAAATTTCATAATTTAATAGTAGTAATATTTTTTATTTTATTTTATCTTTTCTAAGGATTTAAACATTATGGAAGAGCATCAACATACAAATTTTCATGCTAAAATGGGAGTACTCTATTTATTATTCACAATCTAGAAAACATTAACTTTTTTTAAAGAAGAAAATTAATATAAATAAAGGAAGGAGATGGTCGGGGGTGGCGGTCATAAATAGGCTAAATAGTGGTAAAAGCCAACGTTTCGACCCGACTTTGCAGGTCTTCTTCAGGGAGGTGTGCTCAGCTCCAGTGCAGTTCTAAGTGAAACTCCTAGCTGAACAAACCTCCCTGAAGAAAACCTGCAAAGTCGGTTCAAAACGTTGGCTTTTAATAAAAATAGTTTTGCCACTATTTAGCCTATTTATGACCGCCACCTCGGACCATCTCCTTCCTTTATAATGCAACGGTCAACTATTGAATATTCATTAATATATATATACCTAAATATATTTTAATTTCAAGCTAAATGGGGAAGTCTGTATTTATGACATAATCCAGAACACATTTAATTCTTTATGAAAGAAAAAAATGTTTATATTTGCTTTTTTATATTTACTTAATAATTTAAAAAATATGAGTTTTCAAGAAGCCTTCTTCAAGACTAAAAGCTGACACTATTTATTCATTTCTATCCAGCCCACAGCCCTATAGGGACTGTGAAGTATCAGTTATTTGGTGGAGAACACCTAACCTCCGAACAGTTCTCTATTATTCTCTCCTTTTACCATTCAACGTTTGTGGAGATTATTCACTCCTGATATGTCTTAGGAAGAAGTTTTAAACGCCTTTAATTTATGGTTTAGGACGATCGATCATGAATTTTCAGAAATTTCAATTCCAATCTAAGAAATATTTATATAAAAAAGTTTTCAAAATATTACAGCATAGGAGATGGTATGAAAAGTCATTGAAGAGATCCACAGTTAATATTAATTTCTTTGGCAATTAATAACCCTTATTCTAATTGATAATATTACCAGATTCAATAACGATTTTGTAAAATAATGAAGAATATGAAGTGAAACATGCTATTATAACAAGTTAGATAAACTGCTATTATTTGTATTGTTTTACTTGTTCTAACCAAAGGAATTTCTGAAGTTATACTAAAGTTATCTTATCTATAAACAAATTAAATTAATCACCGAGAAATTTAAAAAATATATTAATAATAATGAATATAATCGATGAGTGCCTTCCTATGCTGGAAGGACTCTATTCAAATGTTGTTGAGATGCTGAATTTATGTTAATAAAATATTAGTGGTCCTATTAACCACTTCATTGACTGGAATAAAAAAAAAAATGTGTACTGAAAATGTAACCATTATGTTTTGAAACAAACATGTTTTTATTTTTTAAGATTTTTGAGTCCTAAAACAATACAAATTTTTTCTGCAAACTTGCCAGTATAGCCATTAATTAAATGAGAATTCTTTCAATACATAAGATGATATAAAAATTAGAATTATATTATTACATTTTTGAATAAAATATTATTTGGCCATTGAATAACAAATGAGACAATCAGAAACAAGTGAGCTTTACAATATCAACTTGACCATGTAGGAAATAATAAGTTTGGAAAATGTAATTTTAAAATTCAGGATTAAGAGGTAATTATTACTGTTACATTGTATTTGAAATTATAATTGAATAGTGTGTACCTGTGGACTCTCAAAGATTGATAATTTTATTAGGAAACACTCCATAAAATTTTAATTTTATATTAAAAACTAAATAATTTTTTAAAATCTTAAATCTTTATTGGTTTGAGTCTTTACATTTATTAATATTGGTTTGTAATTATATTTAAAGAAAAATTATTAACTGTAACTGAACAAATAATTATCACTGAAATTGACTGTTATTCAAAGGTATATTTTAGTGTTAAAGAATTTATAGAGAAAATGAAATAAGTTTTTCGAAGTAAATAGATTATTAAAGATGTTGCTCGAAATAATAAAATTAGAAAGATTTTAAATTTTTATCAGCAATCATAGCTCTATTTCTTATGATTATATAAGACATATAATATGTTATATAAGGCAAATAATATTTAATATTTTGCACTTAAAAGTTTAAAAATTGATGTTTATATACAAATTAATTACTATAAATGGCTATTTGTTTTTAATTGACAAATAAATTTACATTTTTTATAAAAATTTATTTTAAATTCTGTAGTATGAAATAATTTTGTATTTAAATGCACATAAATAAGAAAAACATGAAATAGAAATTATTTGGGAAACTACCGATTAATAACATCTTATTAATTAAAATAAATTTGATTTGCTTAATATATTTGTTTACGTTTGTTCAATAAAAATGATAAAAAAAATGAATGATGATAAATCTGTAAACCATTCTAAAATAAGAAGTTATAAAAAGCCGTAACCCAGTTCTAAATTAGCTGCAGCTCTAAATATATCCCATATATAGACAGAAGACCCATTACGGTTACATATTAATAGTAACCCTGAACGGACGGACAGACAGAGATGCAGTTGATTGTACACCTGCCCGCTGACTGACTGACACACAAATATAGTCACGGAGGGTGTGGTTCCAAACTTGGTCCTGCTCCAGGAATAGACTCCCTGAGCGCCCCCCTTCGCTGCGGGGTGGGGGGTCCGCTACTTTGGCCCCTGCCTCCCCAGCTCCGCGCTCAGTGTCCGCCCTCTTCATCTCCTGTCTTGTTAGTATCATATTATATCACTTGCTACTGTGTAATTTAATATCAATTGTTTTATTCAATTTTATTAGGTTTTATTTATTTTATTTTTTTCTCCAATCGCTTTTTACTTCTAAAAGTGTCAAAAACAAAATTCACATTCCAATTAGCATTTCTTTTTTTGGCCTTTAAACTCTGTAATTCAGCATCATGTATTGCTAAAAAAAAATAATTAAAAGCTGTCATTAAACCTCCTCATGAAAATACATTAATTGTTTTCGTTATTCCATTAAAATATTTTGTCTATTAAATATATTTTTGCTTTTAAAAACTAAAGTTTCCCCTATTTTATAAACTTTTAATTTTGAAATAAACCATTTCAAATATAAATTAAAAGAACATTATTCTGGCTCTCTGATTCTCTCTCTTATTGTAAGTTATCGGTTGGAAGTGTTCTGTTGTTTCAAGCTAAAATTGTCTGTGATGTCTTACTCTTCGCAGCCCACTCTATTAATAGCTTCTTCAGTTATTTAAGAATCAGTATATTTTTGCCTTTTATTTAATATATTTAAATATCTTTTAAAGCTTATGGATTGAAATGAAAAATGAAATTTGTTTCTTGGAATTATTATGATTTATCTGTTTGTTCGGATTCCAACTTGCCTTGGATTTGAGCCAATCTTTAGTGTCTCAACTTTCATAAAAGTGTTATTAACCCATTATAATTGCAGGTATCATCACATCATCCTCCCCCTTCTCTCGCTGAGTCAACTTACGCCAAACCGTCATCCAGCGGTAGGAAGCGAGAGGCTGCCCTAGATTGTATGCTAGGCTCTCTCACCGAGAACATGTCCAGGCAAGGAGTCACAACGACACAGAAAGGCTGCTGTTCAGCTTGCGACAAACCCATTGTCGGCCAGGTAATATGCTTTGTTTTGTTTTTTTATGGTTATTGTTTACGCCTACTTTATTTTTATCTAAACTGATTTCTAGCAACTTTTCTTTTACTGTAGGTAATCACAGCACTAGGCAAGACATGGCATCCAGAACACTTTGTCTGCACACACTGCAACCAGGAGCTTGGAACAAGAAACTTCTTTGAGAGGGATGGTCACCCCTACTGTGAGCCAGATTACCACAACCTCTTCAGTCCTCGATGTGCCTACTGCAACGGCCCTATCTTAGATGTAATGGCTATAACTTTGAAGGAATTATATATATATTTTTTAATATTTTACAGCAAAGTAGCCTTAAGAATAAATGTTCTATGGTGAATGAATGCCACTTTTGAATTCCTGTTTGGCATATCTAATTCTCTCTTGAGATTAGTGTCCTTTGCAAAGATGAGAATTGTGGTTTAAGACAGTTCCTTGTTCCAATTAGCCTTAAAATGACTTCTTAACATTAATTAATGGTTAAATCAAGTATTTGGGATACTGATAAATCATTCCCTCTTGACCGACCCTTACACGCTCTACAAAGTCAGTCTTTAATAGTCATTCATTCCTTTGAAATATTTTTTTCTAAAAAATATTTAATATAACAAATGGAGCTAGATGAAGTTTAATCTTGTAAAACCACATTACCTGATTTAATTACTCGAAAAGTCCTTTTTTCTCTCTTTTTTGTTGCAAATTTCTAAGACATTTTAACAAACTTAAACTTAATTAATATTTATTATTTATTAGTTTATTGTAATGATAAACTAATCACAATGATGATAAAGTTGTATTTATTATTATTATTATTATTATATCCTGATTTTCTATTATATAGTATTTAATTTGTTCACAAAAAAACAACACTTTTTTTGGGTTTTAGAAATGTGTCACAGCCTTGGAAAAAACATGGCATACGGAACATTTCTTCTGTGCTCAGTGTGGTAAACAGTTTGGGGAGGAGGGGTTCCATGAGAAAGATGGTCGACCCTATTGTCGGGACGATTACTTTGAAATGTTTGCTCCAAAATGTGGCGGCTGTTCCCGCCCAATAATGGAGAACTATATTTCAGCCCTCTCAATGCAGTGGCATCAAGACTGTTTTGTCTGCAGGGTATGTATATCTTGTATCTAATTTTTATTTTCATGTCTAAATATAAACATACAAATGGCTTGTGGTGTGAATGAAGCTTTGTGTTTCATGTTATTTACATGTTAAAATGTATGTTGCTATGGTACTTAAAGGATTGCCGGAAGCCCGTCACAGGGAAGACCTTTTATGCCATGGAAGGAAAGCCTGTCTGTCCGAAATGTGTCGGAGTGGACGAGGAAGAAGAAGACTGAAGATTCGGCAAAAACTAATACCTCTATATTAAATGCTTTCTTATAGAACCACGCGAATCATAACCACCATCCTACCAACTCTGTATTTATATTTGTATAGAAAATAAACGTCTTTTTTTCTTTTTTTTATTAATTAATTTATAAGGCATATATTTTTCCTACCTTTCTTCTTTCCTATTTGCTACTGTTTAACATTTTGCTGTAAATGCTTTTATCTTTCTCTCTGTTTCTCTCTCACTTTTATTTATTTTTTTTTTTTTTGTATGATAGAGAGTTTGGTCCCCATAATTCCTGCAGAAATTAAAATATTTCAGAAGCAGGTGCTGATATGTCAGAAGTGAAAATATATACGGCTCATCTAGTGAGCTATCTAAAGATCAAAATTAGAATTTGGGTTTGTGCCATTTCTCTTTTAGAAAAACTCGACTCGACTCTTGACCTAAATGAACACTGCTATCTAGATCTGTGTTTGTGTTGAGGCTCGCTGACTGAGAAGAGAGCAGTCATTGTATTAGTGATATTTATATTGTAAAGCAGTTTTATAGCCAAGGTCAGGTGGTAAATCAAAGGTTTCCTTTGTCAGCTGTTAACTTAACTTAACGATTAAAACTAATTAATGTTGATTTCATGTCACACTATTTCTATTTTTTATAAACAATAGAAAAATTGAATACAGTAGCCCCTTGTTGAGCAGTCATCTCTTGATCTGGAAAATCCGATGTTATTCTGATGTAAATTATTAATTTATGAATTATAGTTTTAATTATAAAATAACTTCTTTTAAAACTTGATAGTATGCTCTAATCCAACAGAATTGTATTGATTCAGCTGTTTCATTAAAAAGCTCATTTTCATCAAGCTTCTATGCCTAAAAAATAAATCAGAAAGATGCTCATTCTATTTTTTTGATCTCATTGGACTTGAAGTGAGTTTTTTTTTTTTTGGAATTACAAGTTCAATGGGTCATTGGTTTGTTGCCAGTCATTGAGGTTTGGGATAAATCTCCAGTACCTAGAAGAATATTTTCCCTTAGGCTGAATCCCTTAAATATTTATGCCTGCTAGTATAATTTGAGTCTGTTTGAATGAAGAAGTAGTGTCATTGATTTAAAAGTTGATATAATAGATAGCTTTAACTATCCTACACTTTTGTACACCAACTTGTGTATGTAGATCTTGTCTCTTTCAAGTAATAACTTTTTTTTTTGTTTTTATATTCCATCCGAAATAAGTCAATTAAAAAAAAAAAAAATATTTCCAATTGAAGATTGTGATCAAGAATGACACTTTACTGCTATTGATATCTTATTATTTCTCCATTCCTACTTTTTCATAATTTATTTATGTATGCTGCCCAAGAAATTTGTTTCCTTGAAACTGGAAAATCCTCCATTTGTTTGAATAATAGAACTTGAATATTATTTACCATCTTGCTTCATCCTTTGAAAGTTATAAAAATTCACAAAAACTTTCTCAAATAAATTTTAATCTTGGCATTGAAAAAAGAATATTGAAATTTTGATATATAAACAACTTTATTTACCACCCTTTATGGTCATATGCCGTAACCTAATCCCTGTAGCCATTTCTTTTTAACGTAACAGTCTTCCTTCCTTGCTGCTCTAGCCTCATGTAAATCTTCCAACCATCTCTTTTCCGGGTGACCTCTCTTCCTCTTCAACGGTACATGCTGAAGTATTCTTTTAGGCCATTGGTCATTCGTCATTCTCATTAAATGACCAAACCAACTCAGCTTTTTGTCTCAATGGGGTAATAAAGGATGTTAAGGGGTTCGTTCACTTTATCCCTAATGGAATTGTTTGGAACATATTGTAATCTTGATATTTTGAGATTAAAAAAAATTAATTAGTGTTCAAGGTTAGCCATAATAAGTAGGATATAGAAAATAATGATATGTTGATGTCATCAAACAACATCTCCTAGATTGTAATTACTGTAAAATACTGACAGTATTGTATAAATAGTTTCTGGAAAATAAAAATATTGTTTCCTTCTTTCTCCCTGAAATATATAAATCATTCAACTAAAACTGTGTTGTAATAATGTTTAATGTTGTACTCTAAAACACTGCCTGTGTTGTAATGACAATTTTTCAGTATTATCTATAAAATTTGATTTAATTCAGTAAACTCATTATTTGAGTAAAAACATTACGTTACCTTATCTCTGGCCCTTTCCAGTAATAAAATGCCTTGCCATGTATTTTAATTTGTATTAATTAAAATTTATTTTATTTATTCATCCATTAAAGGTACAATTTTTTTTTTTTAATTTTTCCTTTGTATACCTTCTCTAACGTCTGATGGGACTACACAGTATTGAAGTTTTTCATTAGTAATAAAACAACTTAAATATTGTTTTTAAAAAAATGATAATTCTTTTTTAATATTTAATAGTGAAACTCCTAGCTGAACACACCTCCCTGAAGAAGACCTGCAAAGTCGGGTCGAAACGTTGGCTTTTAATAAAATAGTTTTGCCACTATTCAGCCTATTTATAACCGCCACCCCGGACCATCTCCTTCCTATATAATTTTTTTTATTTGCCAAATATTCTTTAATGTTTGCCTAAATTGAAAATAAAATAATGTTTACCAAATGCAGTTTGTTATGAAATCATCACTAACTTAAGTAGTCTAAGAACTCAAAATTTTTATCATGTTTAATCCTTTGATGGCCGGGATTATAGCATTTATGGTGCTGTTTCCTGCTCCATGTGTCTTAGCCATAGCAAATTCGGTTCACATGATCTCAACAGGCCCTCATTTCCCAAATCCAGATTGTATAAAAATAAATAAAAAATATACTGTCACATAGGATCTGTTTTGAGATACTTAGATGGCTGTAAAGGTATTAAAATAAAACTGGAAAACCTATATAATGCGGAAAGTTTGTAATTAAGCCTAATTATATCATATTTATCCACTAACATAGGACTTTGCAATTATATTCTTTAGCACTACCCATATTTTATGTCAAATAGGTCAAGATAATTTTGGAATATGTGATGTTTATGTAGCCTATCTGTGAATATTTCAATAAATTGTGAAAACCGTCTAAGCCTAAGTTTTGAGCCAACTATACAGGTCTTCTATGGGCTATGGTCAGGAAGGAATTCCACACAGAACTGAGTTTCCAGAAGTTGTACACCGAAGGCCTTCCTTACCATTTAGACCATATAGTTTCCACTATTTTAAGTTTGTCTGTTTTTTTATTACTGCCGCCACAGACCATCTCTTTCCTCAATATACTACAGTCAACTATCGCGTATTTACTTTTAATAAATAGTATCTTTAAAGTATTGATTACCTCCTGAACTTGATCTTTTTTTTTTAAGAAATTGAATTTCTGTTGAATTTGTTCTAGTAGCTGTTATGTGTAATTATTTTTTAATAGGTTAAATGGTTGGTTTTTTATTTTAATTCATCACAATTTGCTATAAAATTACTTCTGTTGACAGGACTGCAGGCAGCCGTTTCATGGGGGATCTTTTTTCGATCACGAAGGCCTACCATATTGTGAAACACATTATCATGCCAAAAGAGGTTCCTTGTGTGCTGGTTGCCACAAGCCTATCACAGGTAATTCAATTATAGAGTAATGTATTAGATATGTCATCATAAGTCAGTGCTTTAGCCGAAATTATTCATATTAAAGTAAACATTTTTTTTGGATTTTTCAGTTCAATCAGTATTACGTAAATTAATAATACTTTGTTATATTTTGCAGGTCGTTGTATAACAGCCATGTTTAAAAAGTTTCACCCTGAACATTTCGTCTGTGCCTTCTGCCTGAAACAACTCAACAAAGGCACGTTCAAAGAACAGAACGACAAGCCGTATTGCCACTCTTGCTTTGAGAAGCTGTTCGGTTGATTGCCTTCAAATGTGCCTGGGCACACCATTATCTAGTTGCCTGCAACATACTAACACACTCCTAACTTTGTTGTATTTGTTAGGTTTCGAAAATTTATCAAGCCTAAATACTTTAAATTATCTTTATTTTATGATAATAGTTATGTCTTCCTTCGTATGACTTATATTTCAAACGAATAATTTATTGTATTTCGTTATAGGAGAAAGGATGGTTTCATTGTACAATAGTTTTAAGTGTAAATTATTATCAAATAGATCGTTATATATGTGGGTATAAGTAATACTCAACACATGAGTATAAGTAATACTCAACACATGGGTATTTAATACTCAGCATATGGGTATCTAATCATCTTAATACCTTCTTGACATCATTCAGCTTAAGTGGAATTTACCTGTCGGTAATTCTTTTAGTACTTAATGTATTTATGATCTTTCTATGTACATATGTATGGACATTCGTACTTCTTGGTGAGGAGTATTTAAAAGTAACTGAAGGATGAGTTCTATCGAATGAGAAAGTACAACATTGCAGTTCTATTGTTTTATAATGTCAAAAACTTATACTTTATAAATTTGAATTACTTATTAGAATTGAAGTTTTTGAGTTGTTATCAAACTGTTTATTAATTATCCGATTATAGTAAGTAAACTTGTTACTTGAGATTTTATCTTCCAATGGTCAATAATTAATATTTTTATTGTCAATGAGATGTTGGGTTTTCCTAAGACCTTTGCTTGGTAATGCCCGATGAACTATTTAATTCTCCCTCTCCCCTCAAAACAAAAAAGATCAATCTGAAAGTGTTTCTAAAAATATTACAATTTTACTCACAAGGCCTAATTTTTTTAAAATTGTTATAAAGGAAAGAATAAGGTATTACTTCTTATTTTTCTTACCAAAAAATGAGGCCTAATTTGAGTTTATTGTAGTCCTTAATTGAAACGATTGCTAGTATTCATAATATATTTTTGTTAAGTAACATTAACTAGGGGAAAAAAAAGCATCACATTCATTAAATATGTTTGAGACCCTGTTATAATTTTTTTTTAAATAAGAAAAGATACAGTTGACATTGAATTGCTGTAATCTGGTGGAAGTTGACTACAGAAACTTATAAAATAAATTTCTCATTTTATAGACTGATTCAAAATAGACCAACATAAAATATAGAGAATCTTCCTAAAGTGATCAACAGCAAATGTGTCAAAAAATTACTTTGTTATGTGGTATAATATTGTTGATTAATATTTGTTTTAATTATGGTGATGTGTCATCATTAAATTACTAATTGAAGACTAAAGGGTAGAAACTGGCTAACTCACATTTTACTCATTTGACAAAATTTAACCCAATCAGCATAATTTTTCTGTAGTACTATTGTTGGTCCTAGATCTATTGAAAACCATCATTAACACATTTTGCACTATAAATGAAGTCAGCTAGTTTTCACAATTTTAGTAAATTGAGAAATTTTATCATGGCATCACTCTCAGTTGTGGTTACTTCACTAATTTTGTTGACCATTTTAAAAAATAAAAATAACATAATATGTTACATATTTAATTAGTACCATGATTAGTAACAGGTTAAAAAAAATAATCTGTACATAAACCTACATTACTTTTGGAAAGAAAGCTGTCGCTGAAACAGTATTCATTTGCTCTATTCACTATAATTTGATTATTAACATAAATTCTATTTAATCATTTAATTTCACTTTCCAAGAACTATGAAATCTTGATTAGTGTTTACAAATTGATCTTACAACTTAATTAATTTTTAAACATTATAATTACATGGTTGCTTTTTAAATGTATTTCTAACTTCTAACAGGTTTACTTGTTTTTGTCAATGCTTACAAAATTGTTTTGTTCACAGACTGGATTATGATTATTTGAATGTACAACTATTTAACATATACTTTTAATGTATAAAACTGAAATGTCTATTCTTTAGAATGTTATGTGCCAATTATTCTGATTTTATATAACATCATTAATTTCTATATTTTATATAAATTATTGATAAAGTTCTATATCATAAAAATAAATTATGTTATATGGTTAAACATTATGTTCAAAGATTTTTTAAAATTATTGAATATCAAGGTTTTCCAACCCATCAGTGCTTAAGTAGCCCATTTCATGGTAATGTATTAATTACATCATATTAATTCTTTGTCAACTTTGTTGTCTCATTTTTGCCTCCTACAAATTAATGTTCCAAGGGCCTTTTAAGGACAAATTAATGTTCGAAAATCTTCCAAGGGCCTCAGAACGTTTACCCAATGGTTGCTTGTTGGAAACCCTTGGTTTAAATAACAGTAAATTATTTGAATTCTACTTTTCAAATTTATTTTAGTAATATATTGTTGTTGCTATAATTTTTTGATTTATTTTATTTTATATTACAATTGTAATAAACAGTTTAGTTTCTTCTAGCGTGCTCCAAATTAGCCGCTATTCTATTTTTAACTAATTTTAATTTATTTAATGTAAACTTGTTATAAATTGAAGATTTTTATGATTGTAAGGAAGACGTGATGAAATAATATACCAATATGTATCAAAATGTTAATTAATAAATAGTTTTAGGTTTTAATTTATATCGCATCTGAAAAGTAATCATTTACAATATTTTAAATTAAGATTTCATTTAAGGAGGTTTGCCTTGTTCAATAAGTGAGCCGTAGTTTTAAAGCATTACTTTTCTGAATTAGTCACAGGAGCGTGCGACACAAGTAGTCCTGTGCAGCTCAACTACGTCTTAAGGTTATTAAATGTTGTTAACGTCAAAACAGAGCTTATATAACTTTTAATGATATACCTAACTTCCACAATTTTGGTTATGTGTATCATCGAACATAATTTAGCCAAAGTCAAAATTAAATGAAATTAATAACACCAAAGACTGTTCATTTATTTATAATTATACCTTCTAAATATCCTCATAACTTTCCTCCTAAAATATATCTATATTTCCTTATCATTTAATATATTTTTTTTAATACAAATAATTTAAAATACAGAATCCATGTGGTAAAATAATACAGAATTATTACTTTAATTACCACATGTTGTGGCCAACTACTAAATAAAGGAGTGTTTTTATGATTAGATATATGAATGGCCTCATAACAAAGGCCAAAAAGCCAATTTTCATATAGGGATTCAACTTAAAAGAATTTAGTTTATCTTTTTTTTTGATAATTCAACTTAACATTATTTATTACTTTTGTGAAGTATTTGATATCAATATTATTTGAAAACTTAAGCAAATTCATCTTTGAAATTACAAATGACTCCTAATAGTTCATTTCATAACTAACTCACCTATGAACTCTAAAATCAGTCTTAACTAATATATTTTTAAAGTGCAATAAAAAATGCATTTAGATCCTTATCAAAATCTTTATCTACATCGACACATTTACATACATTATCTGGTAAAATGCCACTACCCCAGGGTTCAAGAAGGAGTTTGATCACATTTTTGTACCATTCTAATATTGTCCTTCCCGTTTCTTCCACAATAATTTTCTAATAACTTTTCTGTGTAATGAAGTTTTTCTACTTTGAGTGGAATGCTTGAGGGTATTTCCTTTTATTTGATCATATAAAGTCTTCAATTGAGACTATAGATTATAACCTCTCTGTTCCAGTATCAATGTTGTAGGCTTGTTCTTTGATAATGACTTTTTCTGACTTATTTTTTCCAAAATATTCACTTTCATTTGCAAAGTTTAAAATGGAGTTCGCTAATCTTGTTAATATTTTTTATCTGTATTTTATGTTTCTAAACTGAGGAATTCTTCAATGATTTTCTCATTAGCTACAGTTCATTTGGAAATTTATCAACAGGGAACTCGTACAACTTTACTTTTTCAACTTAAATTTGAAGAATATGCTTTTCAGCCAATGTGTTAATTTTCATAAACATGATGGGCACAGAATCAAGTGCGTCTGATTGACTGAATTACTTCCTAAATTTATGTTGAAAAAAAAAAGGGAACAATCACTAAAAACCAATTGACTTGAGAGAAAGTGTCTGTTATGTTACTTATTTGACAAACATTTTCTTTTAGCACATATTTAAACCCAAAAGCCACTTATTACGCATATTTAAATAAATTGGCTTTATTTTAGACATATAAAATTGTTTAATTAATAATATTACAAGCAGAATTTAGAGTAAATTAATATTTGACAAGATGTTAATTACTTTTCTAGCTTTTACCACCTATACTTCTCAGGATAAAATCATATTTTGTTCTAAATATAATAAAATTAATAAGTTGTAAATTGTCCAATAAAGAATGTAGACCTAAAAGTACTTAGAAGCTTTTTATTTTGAATGGAAATTTAATATGGTAGTACTTCTCATAAAAAAACAAGAGCAGAAAACACAACTAAAAACATATTCTGTAGCTGGATTCATCTACAAATACAATTAGGCAGATGTTAACATTTCAAGATTTTACTTCATTTTCTTTAAAACAAAATGATTGGATATCGTCAGTGGGATTAATAGACTATTTGAGATCCAGAAAGATTAATGTTTGTGGCCCCTAAAAAAGTAAAATTAAATTAAATTAAAAAAGAAAGACAATTTTTTTAGTAAAATAAAATTGTAATCTTAAAAAATGTATATAATGTTTTACATTAAAATTAACAATTATAAACAAATAGATAAATAAAACTTAACTGAAAATATGGGTTCCCCAATAGGAAAGATGTTAAAATAACTTTTAAAGTATAGTAAATATTAAAAACATAAATAGTGAAATCATTCATTTATTGTAATGGTTTTTCTTAGCATAGTGCACTTCAATTATAGTACACATTATCATACTTTTGAATCCATAATATATTGCATATTAACATACTTTATAAGGCATGTATTAATGCTTTTTGTTGCACATAAATCCAGGTCTTACTAATAAAGAGTAAGAATTAAACAATTAAAATATAATAAATTGGTCAAGGTCTTGTAATTTATAAAACAAAGTGAATTTATAGAGTATTGTATTTTATTTCATGCTTGATTTAATGAAATGAAACACATCAACAGTTATAACCCTGATGTAAAATCATCCAATTGAAGATATCAGTTTGTTTTTAGTTACTATTAATTTTTTACCACTTAAATTTGTGATGTTATTAATTAGGGATGTATCAGTCTAAGTTGAACCCTGGTGAAACCTCAGGGTACAGCTTTAACTATTAATTAATTATTTAAGTATTATTAATTATTTTTTAAGTTTCTTAAGGCGTGTGATTGACTTGGAATAAATCTTTATGTTTTCGTGATGAGTTGTATAAGTATTAGACATTTTTTGTAAATTTGCTTCCACAGGTGTAAAAGTAGGACATTTTTTCAAATTACTTGGCATTTATGGTTACTGTTCAATTCCATATAGGTCCTACACTGATTTTGTAAAGCCTAATTCAGTAAACGAACCCTGTAAAGCAAAAAGAATTTTTCAAATCGAAGTGATAATTCCTGGGATTGTCACATTGAAACTAATAAACTCTACCGCTTTATATAAGAATATAGCTATATTTACTTCCTTTTTGTTATTGATAGTGTAGTTATCCTGTATATTTTTATTATAATCTAGTATTTTTTTTATTTTAATTAATTTAATATTGTTTTAATTTCCAACATTAATTTAATCAAATGTTATGAACCTACTTTTTATTTATTTTTTGTGCTCATAGGAAGTGTTGCCTTCAATTTGAACAATTCCAATAGTAAAATGTGTCCAGCATCTCGCTCCACCTTTCCACAAAGTCTGGAAAGTCAGCCCCAGTTACATCATATGTTCCAGTCCCCCTCATTGACCAGGATCTGTGTCACTTGATGGAGGTACAAGACACCATATGCTCAATAGTATCAGGGAACTCCTGAGGGGGATTCCCTTCTCACTTGCAACCAACTGTCCATTCTACCGTCAATCTTTCTCCCGACATTTTATTAACCTCCCTGGCTTCTCCTGCACCTCTATGACAGTCCCCATTGTCTTTTAAAGTGATATTTCCTTGACTCTTTTTTAAAAGATTAGATCCAGAGGCATTTTCACTGCCTCTTGCAACACCGTCCTATAGGCTTTGGTCACTCTTAGGAGGGCCAATCTTTGGATGATGGACAACTAATTCAATATTGGGGTAAGATGTTCATTCTATCTTCATGCTAGGGATGCATTCCTCACCCAGCACAGTATGTTTGTAACTCCATCCATCCATCAAGCTATTAGTCTCCCATAAGGCATTAATTGTAGTGTAAAAGCATCTCATAATCTTATAATCCAAGAGAATCAAGGTGCCCCCGATTTTTTCCCTCATGATTTTTCCACTAGGAATATATTCACGAGTTTTTGAAGAAAGAAATATTTTACAACAAAATAAAACTCGATGTTATTTAGGCAATCACTCTTAGTGGTAGAGGTAACACTCAAAAAATAAAATCTGTGTTCAAAATGTACTAATAAATAACAATGAGAATCAGAGGTGTCCATTTCCCTCAAGATCAATGGCGAAAGCCTCCCCCCATCCAAAATATTCTATTGCTCTCCTCTTCGAAAGTAGTGTAAGCGAAAGTATAATTTAAAAAGTCTGAATCTTTTTTTTTTTTTTTTGGCCCTCTCCATCTATAGTCTTATATATATAGTTTTTCTAGCACAAGGAGTAAGGGCGGGAGATTAATCCCAAAATTAAAAGATCCCTCGGGCAACGGTACGCGAACTCATATTATTTTGATCCAATTATCATTGATCCGGGTTGTGGGGCGACGCACGGTGCTGTGCATACACATTAGTTCTCTCAGGTTACCTCGCCTCTTCCCACCCCCTCCTCCCAAAAAAAAATCGTGGATCATATACAAACACAGGCGGATCTACGGGGGGAGGGCTTTCGGGCTGAAGCCCCCTCCCCCCCAAAATGGAAAAATATAACCATGTTTTATGTGAAAAAAATTTAAAAAATACCTCTTAAAGTATTATTGTTCGTGTAATTACATTTAAAAGTACTTAAGGAATAACTTAAACACCATTTCATATAGGTAGTTAGTTTATTTCTGTTTTTCCAAAGTAATTATCGTTATTTTTATGAAAAAAAAAAGGTTTCGGGCTGAAGCCCTCCCCAAAAATAAATCCTGGATCCGCTAGTGTATACAAATACACTATCTATGGCAAGTTCCATGTTTTTTCCGGTTGTTAACCGATTCGAAACTTTTTATTTCGACCATTCATATTCCCGTCGAAATGTGTCTCCCTCAAAAATTAAAAATCTCGTCAAAATGTGACCCCTCAAAAATTTTGATGTCACAAAATGCGCCATGAAACCCTTTCGAGGCAGCTCTGATGAGAATATAATGAAAAGTGAAGCAAAGAGGAGGTTGTGGACTTCAGATCAGATAATACATATATTATTATACTCTGGTGATAACTGGGAAGTAAAGTAGCTAAAGGAGGGCATTCTGTTTGAGACTTTGATTAAGATGTGATCCACTCACATAGGATTCTTTTCTTTCGCTACCTGCCCATTTCTGGCTTACGAGAAAGGAGGGGAATGTGTTGTTCCACTGTAAACCAAACTATTCTAGCAAGAGTAGATAACTATCTTGCCGCGGAAGAAATTTCGATGCGCTTGAACTGGATTCCAATTGGCACCATTTACGAAACGATGGTTTCAGCCTCACGTGCATCACAGTGTAACCTTCCGCATGACAAAAAACTAACGTTTTCCAATCTTCCTCTTGCTTCCCAGAAAAATGAATCCAGTTAGTTAATTCTTTGATTGAGTCGGGGGATTGGACCAAGAATGACCCTTGATCCACACTTTTACTACTAGTGATTAATGAATTGCGAAATGAAAATATTATTGTTCTGAGTAACCTTCCCACCGTGATGAGACGAATGGGCCTCAATTTATCGGTTCTCGCTCGTTTTCTTCTTTCACCATTTTTGAATTACCAGCAATTAGTACGAAAAATTATTTAACTGCTACTTACAATGAGAAAAATGCATCTTGTGGTTTGCCTATCTTGAATATTGAGGTGATTCAAGCTTTTGTTTCAAAATACTTTTTTTTTAAAAAAAATTCAGCTTGATCTGTTTATAATAAACAAAGTGTCTGAAGAATTATAGTAAGTCTTGAACGACCAGTCAAAAGTTCATCTGTGTTAAAATAAGATGTTTCTTACTGTAAGTTATATCTCGGTATCTATATCGATCGTTTTAAAGTCCTAACCCATACGACAAAATTTGCTGTATTCATTCTTTATTATTAGATATGTACTAGAGAAAACATTTCAATATTTCCCGCAACAATAGGGATGTGAAGCAATGATGTCCAAAGGAGATGTGTTGTCCAACTGCCAAACCTACTTGCCTTCCAAGAACGCTCCTCACGTGTATTACGGTAAGTTTGCTATATATTTTAACAGGTTTAATGTCTTGAAACGCTGGTCCAGGTTATACTAGCTCAATCTAATACACTTATTTTATGCAGTTTGTTTTGAAAGTGATACTATAAAAGGTTACAATTTTGTTGTGTGTAATCTTACGTATTATCGATCCTATTAAATAAATAACTAAGAGTAAAACAGGTTAAACTTGTGGGCTATGGATGGTTCTTTTGTTTTGACAAAAAAATCGATGAAGTAGAAAGCGGAAGATTGTCTGGTGAATAGACCACAGATGGGCGAAACGGAGGGGTGCACAGAAGGGGGTTTCATGGCCCAAGTTGCGCCATCAGTATTTTTGAGGAGGGCATATTTTGAAGGATTTTTGAATTTTAGAGAGGAGCAAATTTCGACGGGGTTATGAATTTTCGGACTTAGGGACAAGGGGAAAACATGGAACTGACCGCAGCAAGTGTAATTGTATATGATCTACGATTTTTCTAATTCTACTTTAGCTTGCTTTGTTTTTAAAAAAAGGTGACTAATAAAATATCTTGAGAGGGGAGGAGGGTAGGTTCTTAGCGAAAAGTTTCATGCATTGATTCAAAGAGCTAGTGAGGATATAAAAGAGCTGTATCCCACAAAAATGCTCAATTTTGTGATCATATCCTAACAACTCCGAACTCTCCGCTCAAGTTAACCATTCCAACTCTATTTTGATCTACTAAGTAATCTGCCTGACGACCGAATCCTACATAATTTATGCGGCCAAAAGATTATATAATTATGATATAATAAATATATTTTGTTTAGAAAATTTAATGGTAAAAAAAAATTTGCTTAAAAAACTGACGCCCTTTAGTCAGGTCTGTATTCGGGCTTAATGTTTCTCTGTATGTACTCCAACTAGGACATTACTTCCATGTAGTATGGTATATATAAGTATGCCTTATGGTGCGTTCACTTTTTAAAAATAAACTTTCTACTATAAGGAAGTTAAATAACTCTATTCTTATAGCTTCAGATGAATTTGTATCCATTATGAGCAGATTAGTTATATTATAATATACTTACGGAACTATAGTGTTTGGATTCGTTCTTGTTTTTCTATGTTGTTTCAAACGATGAAACTAGAAGTTGATTGAGCATCTACCTGCCCTAATTAGCAATACCTGATTATGGGCTACAGTTAAGAACCCTGTGGTTTGAAATTTGCAGGATACATTCAGAAGTGCATCCTGCCTCATGATTATCCACCTGTGCTTCAATACCATCAAGCAAATGTTCATGTCACAATTATTCATCAACATTGTTGTTTCAGAAGTTGTGTAAACATTTTTTGTTTTTAAATAAACTTAGAATGGAGAACTAATCAGAAAAAAAAGTAAATTATTAAAAGAAAAATTAGTTAAAATAACAACATTGTTATATTAGAGCTAACCCATCCTAATCTCTTTTATGAATATTTTACTATGCAGGTTTATTATTCATTAAAGTATTTTTCATTTACCCAAAAGAACAGTACGGCTTGATTAATAGTATAATATGTAAAATATAACAACATCCAATCATACATGTTTAATCTTAACTTTATAAAATAGTTCTTCCTTGATCTGATATTTCACTCATGCTTAAATATGTACTATATACGTTTGTATAATAATAATGAATAAGTAACGTGTTTTTTTTTATCCTAAATATTGTATCAAGTAGAGATGGGTATTATTGTACTAAACATTAGTTCGTATTTCATTCCATAAGCTCTTCCTCTATTTTTTTTTTCCCATATTGCTTTATTAAGCAATATTACATTTTGTCACAATCAAGGACACCAGTAACAGTGATAGCGCATCTCATTCACACTCTATTTACAAGAAATACAAATAAATTTAACAGAAAAATAATAATATTACAAGTAAATGTGTATATAAAAAAAAAGTAACTAAACTAATATCCTCTGTTTAGGTTTAAAAAAAAAAAAATGAAATTACGTGTTATAATTATTCTGCGTTTAAATAAAATTTCAGACGTGTTGTAACTTGATGATGAGGTGTTGAAACTATATAAATTAGCAACTTTTTAGAAGAGTTTGTTGTTTAGTTCGTTGTTATTCTATAAACTTTATTTCTACCTGTTACTAAACCAAATTGCTTAGTTAGCAACAGGCGTTTAGTTAGTTTAGGAAAAAAGGGGACAACTTGCCCCGGGTCCTATGAATGAAGATGCTCCTTATCCTTCTCGTTATATCTTTTTCTTTCCTATAATTATTGAGAATTTAAAGGTGATAGAAATAACGACAATGTTGTAATATAAAAATGAAGAAAAGAAAAATTTTAAAAGCTAAGTTCAAACATATTGCTGTGTCGACAATATCACGGAAATAAACTGACGTTAGTTGGACATTCATCTTCTTGCTTGGATTATCTCCTGATTCACTACTCATGTTGCGATACACCTAGCTTGCGTTTCATCGTAACCTTCCGTATGACATGACTAACAATAGGGAATTGGAAAACAATATCCAAAGTTCCTAATACTTCCTCAAACAATATACTCATTTACTTCTTGTTTCAACGATTTTCAGTTAGAGTTTATTGAATTGGAAGATTTTTTGCTACTCCACTGCTTAGATACCATAGAGATGGATGAGCTATTATTTAGTAATATGTTATTTTTTTAATAATAGTTATAAGTTACATGAGCAAGAACATTGACTGTTTAATAGGAAAGCCTCTGTTCTCTGTCATTTTTATTTATTTATTTTTATTATGCCTCTCTTTATCGGCTTCCGCCATTAGAGACCTTGACGCTCGGTACCATTCCGATTTGGATGGCGTGGTATATCTTATGCCTGCAACTCCTATTCTATGCAGGTATTTCCTATCCTAAGGTAGTCGTGGCCTGTTATCATCCGGAACTCTTCCACAGCTTCCTTTCTCGCCAGGTTCATGGAAACTCGATCTGCTTCATTAAGCAATTTTCTCCATTGCTTTTCTACAGCACTGCTCTTTACAAATTCCAGTAGCAGTGCCTCATTTGCTTTATTAATTTCATTTCTGGCTCTATGATATGATATTTGATTTTCTGGCTGGTTCAATGTGGAGCCTTCCTTGGTGAGTTTATCAACCATTTCGTTGCCATGGAGACCACAGTGAGTAGGTATCCACTGAAAGAACACCTCTGTTCCTTGAAGAAGTAGTTCCTCTATGATCTTTTGGCACTACAGAATACCCAAGGAAAGGAGTCATTAGGCCGTGACACAGCTAGAATAGCCACCTTTGAATCCACAAACAATAAGATATTTTTGGCATCTAAATGTCACAAGGCTTGCAGTGCCAATGGATATTATAATAATGTTTAACAGAATGTAAATATAAATTCCTGATATTAGCTTTTGGTTTATTATTTTCAATAATGAAACATTGTGATCGACCAAAAAATTCAAAAACATAACCCCCTCTCAAAATTTGAGGTTTCACGTTTCAAGATGCGTAGAATTCGAAAAACGAATAAAAATTTGTTTTTCCGCCCGCCGTCCGCCGTCCGCCGTTCGCGCATTTTCCCCGAAACTACTGGACCGATTTTTTTAAATTTTGATATAAAATCAGAGGTCACCCGAGGATGATCCTCCTTCATCGACTTTACTCTCAAAATGGCGGCCGAAAAACCTGCGTTGCTATAGACTGTAGCTCAGAAACGAATATACAGATTTCAATGAAACTTCGCTAAAGTCATTTTCTCGACGCCCTTTAAATTTATCTATATAACATACTTCAACGAAAAGATGCTGGAAAAAAAGTTACGAGGGATGTTAAAATTAAATTCCGAATAACTCGAAAAGTTTTGTGGATATTGTATAGTTTTTTAAAAGTTTATAAAATTTCCTAAAAACAAAAAAAAAATCGTTAAAATCGGACAATTAGGAGCAAAGATGTGGTCTCTGGTTTGTTTTTATGTGTTCTACTCCAAATGTTATATCCTTTGTTTGGTTTTTAAATTTTAAATGTGTTACTGAAATAATGCTATTTTTTTTAAGCATATTTCTAATGATTAAAGAAAAACAGTTTAGTCCAATAATTGGAATCACCCTTTTTTTTTTTTTCTTTGTAACTCGGAATGTAATGTTACTTTAGATGTATAATTGTTTGGAAATAATAAACCATTGTGAAATCATTTGCAACTTTTTTTTTATAGTTTTTTAAAAAGTAAGTATTATTTCTTTCCCTAGTGTAACGGTATTGCAAATGCAAAAAATTATTTGCATGTGAAATAAATTGACAAAAGGTATAGAATTATTTATTTTATTCAATCTCGCTTATAATGGACATTTGTGGTGAAAAAGCAGCGATGATTGTAGCCAATGAGTACCGTCCGACTCAATCATTAGTATCATTGGCTCATCAGGCCTTGAAACGGTGAATTATCTTGCGATTGTAATAAATATATTTGTACATTCAAGGTGAAGTGTTAACTCTACTAGGTTAGGAATCGGGGAGATCGCTGAATGACAAGAATAGTTTTGGCAAGTGGATGAAGCTGGGGGTGTTGTTTCCCGCTTTTAGATAAAAAGTGAGTTAAAGGACATTAAAGCAGAGGTGGCGGATTTAGAATATGGCATTGGGTCAAAGTCAGCATTACCAAAAAACTATATTAGTCAGGCAGAAAAAAAAGTACTAATTAAAAAAAAAAAATTGACCGTCAATAAACGAACCAGTTGAAAGTATATCCGTGTGTAAGTATTTTTTCTACGTATTCCCTAGTATGATTAACACAACTTTAGAAGGCCGTCATATCAACACACACACACACAAAAAAAAAAAAAAGGACTATATTTAACCATTTTGTGTTAACTATTTTGTGTTAACTGATTTCAATCATAATAAGAATTATCTTCAATGTTCTAGTCGATTGAAGCAGAAACTCAACGAGCAACTTCTCACTTTAAAGACATGTCGTAGAGGGTAGTTAAAGTTGCAAGAACTTCTTGATATAAATATTATTGCTAGCTGGTAACAAACAATTATTTCGAAAACTTCACCGCTAAAGTGCATAAGTATAATAATTAAGTTTGGGTAATGGGAAAAAAACAAGAAAATTACAGTATCTAAAATTTGAAGATATGGATGGATACAAGGGGAAATTACTATATCTATGAAATAATAAATTATAAATATATACATATACATATAAAATAGAATTAAGATATTACAGATAAGAGTACAGTGTGAATAAAAATAAAAATGGAAGAAGTAAAACGTACAAAGAAGTAAAATATAAATATAGAAATAAGAGACCGTACATTGCAGAACTAATTTAGAAGTATAGAGAGGAAAAAAATATGTAAATAATTATAATTCTATTTGGTTGTACATATGTAAGAGAATTACATTTAAATATTAGATAATATTGAGACATGGTTAAAAAGTAACGGAACATCTCCTTTCTTTATAATGCAACTGTCAACTATTAAACATTCATTATTATTAAAAATGTGCATAAACTGAATGATTTTAGAAATATTATTATTCATTAGGTATTACATATTATTTATACATACAAATGAACTTAGTTCATTGTTCCAACCGCAGGCGTCCTCGTCGAATGTGGACAGCCAAGGACATGCAATCTCCAAAAAACCCGATTAGCGGTCGAGGATTGGCCTCAAGCATACTTTAGTCCTGGTTATGCTCCAATACAATATTTCTTGGGTACAATATGGAAGGGAGAGGTGGTGTGTCCAGCAACCCGCTGTTATCTCTCCTACCTGCCTGGAGATAGCTTTGAGGACCCATTCCAGTCTGAGTCACTTCCGCAAGGTGTGGGCTGTCGTAACACATCTATAATAGTATTTCCGTCTTATGACCTGATTTCGTGCGGGAACTCCTCCGTTTCGTTTAGCAGGATGGCATCAAAAATTTACTGGGCAGTAGCGTTGTTGCACTATTAGTGAGGGGTGGGGTATGTAGGAAGGATCCTATCTCCTGGAATGAAACGATAATTAACGGATTTAATGAAACGTAATTCTGTGGTCCTAAAATTATTTATTACTATATCTGAGGAATTTATAGATAATCATCATTTTATCTTCGTATGAAGAAAAAAACTTTCCCTTTGAAATATAGGAATCAATAAGAAACTTTAGGAATAGAGTGTTGAGGTAAAATGAGAATAATAGATATTTATAGAATTATGGAAGGTTTCAGCTTAGCTTCCGCCAGTTACGGAATTGAATTTTGCATGGTGGCTTCAGCCCGAAAGATTTGTATATATATATATAACGATAATTACTTTGGAATAAAAAGAAAGAAACTAAGTACCTATATGAAATGGTGTTTAAGTGATATTAAATGTAATTAAATAAACAATAATACTCTTAGAGATAATATTTTTAGATTTTTTTTTCGTAAGACTTGACTATATTTTACCGTTTTGGGGGACTTCAGCCTGAAAGCTCCCCTCCCCCCGTAGACTGGCGAATTTAAGGGGGAAGGAGTGGGGCAGTAGCTCTCGGCTGTAACCCCACAAATTAAAAAAATAATTTATTTTCATAGTTCCATACTTGTTCTGTGAGTGTTCTGAGCTGAATACTCAAACAATTACAATATATGCATATATATATGAAGGAACCACCATGCATGTTTTAATAATAACCCATACAAAAACTAAAAAAATATAAGAGTCTATCGAGAAAAAGAATCATCTCTATAACATTATTTTAATTTATTCATTATTATTCTTTTTATAAATCCTTCTAGGACCACTTAAACATCATTTTATATGGTTTCTTTTTTTTTTTCTTCCAGATTGATTCCCGTTATATTAAAAAATAAAAGAAACTCAAGCCTCTCACAAAATTAAATCCTGGAACCGCTACTGGTTTGAGCATTTCCTTCTCCAGTTGATTTTTTACTGAGGTTTTCTCTTATCTTTCTGCGTTTGTAAAATATCTTAGTAGTAGTTTTTCTGGTTTGTTCAGCAACTCGTAATTCTTCTAATATTTATTCACTTACTGCAGGACCATTATTCGAATTGGAATTTGAAAATTCTTGATCTATCGATAATTGATTTTAGGAACACTATTATTGGCAGACGTCGTCTGGACGTCTGGCTGCGATGCGTTGCCTCGATATCTTTTTTCCTCTTCAATCTTTTGTCAATACAAATTTTACAGTTTGTCTTAAGGCTATCTCGGCAGAATTGGAATATTAACAATTGTTACGGTATAATAAAAATATTTTTTTTTTGTTTATATTATAATATTAACCATTCATGATAGTTTATAGTGAGTTAGTAGCATTTTTTATAAATGCTGTAAGATGTACATTTTTCAAACCGCTCTCATTTGCTGGTACGTTATAGTTGGCGGTAGAAGATACCTATCCGCGACAGAAGCACTGCAGAAGTACATCCACCTGTGGGAGAAGGAACACTGCCCGATAGCGGAAAAGAAAACTGAAACTAAGGACTCTGAGTTGGTCTCCCTGGTGAGGTCCCTCCTGAGGCTCCTCTGTGCCAACAGGATCAGGAGGTACATTATAGGTCAGTTGGTTCGACTCTTCCTTAGCAATACTACACAACGTGTGAGCTCTATGGCAGGGACACAAATCCTGTCTCTCAGTGTTAATTATTCGTCAGTGTCATTAATCCGTCAATATCTTCCTATTTGAGATTCTATATTAATGTTTTCTACTGTTTTATAAAATTGAGTTTATTTATTTATTTGGCAGTATTCATATCGAAAATTGGTTAATACGTTTCAGTGAGGATTCGTCGGATATCATATCTATGAGAGACCATTACCCGCAAAGTATGTGAGGTCACTCCAAAATGTTTCAATTATAAAAAATAAATAAAAAAAATTGTCTGTACCACTAGAATCCATGAAGGTTGGTATGGAAGTCTTGGATTCAGATTATGTGGTGAAGATCATCCTCAATCGCCTGTTTTGTCTCTCGATAAAACGAACCTATTTTATAGAGATTGGGTTTATCCCAGGAGGGTCTCCCGACCCCTATGCGAATCCACGGTTGATGTAACAGATTATTGCAGCCAACCAGTGGTTAATATTACTCTCACAATTTTACCGTTAGAAAGATGAATCTGTTCGAACACTACAACTTCATTTTAGTTTTTGGTTGTAATCTGTGAACTCTATTATAAATGTACTAGAGACAGATTGTAATATTTTTCAATAAATAAGTTTAAAATTAAAAAAAAAAATTAGTTATTGATGTTTTCTGAACAATTTAATTGGTTGCAGATCTGCAGTTCACATCGCTTATTATATTAATATTGTTTAACTGGTATCGTTTTCATAAAAGTTCGTTCTAAAAATGTAATTATTGAAGTAAAATATTAAAAAATACCATTGAAATAATGTAGTATATATAAATAAAATAAAGGTTTTATCTGTACAATAAATAGAATCAACCCGTTTCATGATATCTTTGCATTTCATACATTACAGACACCAAATCCACTTTTAAAAAAAAAATTTGTTTGTCTGTATGTCCGCATTGTCCAACGAAATTTTGTCAGGAGTAAGCTCAGCAATAGTTAATGGTAAACTTTTGAAATTTTGGCATTATATTTAGGTTTGCTTAACTTAATAGACGTTAAATGAAAACAAAATATTGAGTAGAACCAAAGTTATGAATTCTTGGGTAATTTGTCTAAAGATTCCGGTTAGGCAGTTACTTACTTCGATTCTCAACATTTGGCATGCATTTCTTTGGGTTTTATAATTTTTTTTTCTCCAATTTTTTAAAAGTCCAATTTATTTTAATCTAAATTCAGTTTAACTATTCACCCGTCAACTTCGGATACATAACCCAGTACAATATAAAATAAAACACAACAATTATTAAAATATAAAAGACAAAAATAAAACTTTATATATCCTTTTTAAAATAAAGTTTCTAAATTATTTAGTATTTGTGTGTGTGTGTGTGCTACCCCCCCCCCTGTGTTAGAACCCTTCTCATCTTTTAGGCTGTACAGTTTTCTCGAGCCAGAGGGTGATTACGGAGGATCAATGTCAGGGTTAAATTCCACCCCTTTACTAAATTAATAAAATAATTCTTTCAAAATTTCATTAAAACAATTTTTATGGTTTTTAACAATTTGGAATCCATATTCTTTGCCCCTGGCACCTTGCATCCAGTTGGTTCTTGGTGCACTTGAACCCTGCTTGGTAATTCCATCACTCTATCTCACGTATAGTCTTCGTCTGATTCTCTCTTGGTCTATCAGAGTCCATTCACTAATTCTTTTCTATCAAATATCTAATTTTGGTTTAGCCGATGTTCTACCCATTCCCATTTTACTTTTTGGAGTCCCTTACTTAAATGTTTTACTTTTACATGATTTTTCTCTTTTCTCTTCTATTAATTACCACCATACTCTTCAAAAGTTTCCTTTGCAAATTATCCAATTTCTCCTTTTCCTTTTTCGTTAGTTATGTATGTATTATTTATAAGTATCTTTTTCAGAAAAAGGGTCATAAATCCTTTTCGTGTAAAGAATTTGAAAGTTTAAGGGCAAGTAATGTAAATATAGCCATTTTCATTACCTCAATAGTAATATATGTTATTATAATTTGTATACATTTATTTCAGAAAAAAATTGTTATACTCACCGCATCCTCAATGCAATAATAACCTTTCTCAATGTAAAAAAGACATTTTCAAGTTAATAATAATTATTAATTCGACCAAATGAGTTTAATTAAGGAAATACTGGCGGAAATGAAAAGAATGTATCATTATGAATGAACGTGGGCAAATTTGTAAACTTAGTGCTCAGCTCATCAATGACACAAACCATCGATGGAAATCAACGCCTGTCTTTTTTAATCGCTTGAATCACCGATTGTTTAGCTGCCCTATCGACTATTGGGTTCGATGGATCCGCTGGCTCCTACCTGACTATGACCAGTGTATACTTTTACTTTACAAATTACATGTTCCTAAACTTCCTGAGATCATTGTTGGGCATCGGACATCCATCAATAGATTAACGCTAAGTTTAGGAACATGCGCATATATAATCAGTTTACTTTATATTTCTATTTAATAAATCGCTGTCCATTGGTGCTACGTTCATTCGATTATTGGCTTCCAGCAACCGAATTAGTGCTGAGTTTAGAATTTTGTCCAATCTTTTAGCTTAATTGGTTGACAATGACTTATTAATATAATTTTAGTCTTTTCTTTCAGATGTAAAAATTAATTTTTTTATTTACGTTGCATTGAGGGTGCGTCATCATGATCCTGACAAATTCTTTTGATAAGATTGATCCTGACTAAAATTCTTCTGACTAAGATTCTTTTGAGTCGTCAGAGTTTTCCAACAGTACTCTATCAACAACTCAGTAGTCCTTAACCATCTTATTTTTAAGAATTTTAGGAAAAAGTTATGAAATCTTCTAAATAAAAAGCAATTTCCTAAGCTGCGATTGCTTATTATAATTAGAATTACTGTATCATCCTTTTCATTTTATTTTTTTTCATATTTTGGATTAAAAATTTGATAATTTATCTCAATTTTATTTATAAGTTCTACGTTTGTTATTTTTTTTCTTTTGTATTATGTATTATATTTCTCTTTGAAGTATAATTTATTTAAATCTTTTCATTATCAATACAACAGCTTGTAATATATGAATACGAATTACATTATTTATAAGGTATAAATTACATTTTTGGTTTTAATAGGAGAGAGGAGAACAAGAAAAACGTGATGAATTCATTTAGATATAGATGAATTTTACCTGAAATATGTCTGAGGTTTCAAATGAATGATTACAGTCATACGCATTTCTCTCAAGCCAAAAACTCTATATCGTTCAAACGTCGTCACACGATCGAAGAATAGTTTTTTTTAATTTGTATTCATTTTTTATTTATGTTGGCACTACGGGAGCTTGTAGATCTCTTCTCTTTTCATTTTTACATATTTTGGACTATTTATTTTCATTGATCTGCACGCAGCTCTGTTGAATCTTTCTTGATTCGTCCATCTGTATCCATCTGCTTTTTTGGCCTTCCACGTGGTCTTTTGCATTTGCTCAACCTACTTGCCTTCATATCACGAAATATTGTTTGATCAGTTTCTGTAAGCAGTTCTTTATTGATATTTCTCTTTATTTCTCTTTATTCTTTATTTAATGTTTAAATTTTGAAAAGTATTACAGGCCTGAAATAGATAAGGATGGACCAATCATTTATTTTATTTTTAGCAACAGTTTATCAACTTATATAACACACCACAAATCAATAAATTATATTTATTTATAGCTATCTTTCATGAAATAATACTGAGGTGACGTGTGACGCACTTCTGGTGGTATTCTGATTTCTTTTGTGCTACGCTATGTGGCATAATCTTGCTAAACGGATTCATCTATTTTAAAATTACCTCTAAGTTAAGATAGCTTATCCTAAAGTACAGTTTCGGACCTAAGATGGTATGTTTTTGTATTTGTTTATTTCGTATTTTTGAGTGTGGTTTCAATCAAGTCACCTCCTTGCACAACCGTCGGCCCAGAAGTATTACTTTCTTCCAAAGTACTGAACCCAAGACCTTTCATGGATTGTAGTAGCACAAATTTTTTTGATTTTTTTTATTTACGTATTTAAATAAGCAGCATAAAATAATTCAAACGTGAATTGAAGAAATTACACATGCCCCTGTTTGTAGTATTAGACATGTTAGCTTTCTGTAATTGATGATTCAATTATAATGTGCTGATGTGTGTTCATTTTTTCCAGTTGCTAAAATAATTTACAAGTCAAGAAAGAAGCTGGAGAAACTATTGCAAGGAAAAAGGCTAATAAACTAAAAACATCTCATCCAGTGTAAATAATTTTCCTGATAAATATATTAATTCAAAATAAATTACATTAATTTAAATCACACCACTGTCTTTTTATTGTTTGTAATTAAATGCTATCAGTATGAGGAAAATTATGCGATGTAAATACATACGCATGCCTTGATTAAATTACCTCGATGAGTGGACAAACATGTACTTATGTACAAGGTCGGTTAGCTTCAAGTAAAGATTATTTTACTTACATATTTATATAACGAAAGATAAAATTCCTCTTACAATAAGTGCTTTTGGCACGTAAAAATTATATAAAATTGACAAAATCAACATAAATCAATATGATTAATTGCAAAATCTTGTGTTATCGAAAACATAAACAAACAAACATATGTAACAGTAATCGAAATAGAAACAAACTCATTGAAGTAAATAAAATAATGTTCTATTCCGTTATTATCAACAACTAGCCTTATGGCTAGTACATCGTAAAAAGTATCCAGGAAATTTATGAAATTTTTATTTAAAAGGATTAGAAATATCCTTCAGAGCGCCCTACAATATTAGGGAGTGGCGTCAAATCATTGGCCCAAAGATAGAAAATAATGATGAATCTTAGGCATATTGTCCCCTTAGAATTACATTGCAGCAGAAACATGTATATTTGTCTATATTCGAATATATATATATATATATATTTTTTACAAATATTAATGATTTGTAATTGTTATCAGCAATACCGATTAAATACATACAATTACGTATAGGATCGTAACAAAATATTGTTTATATCAGTGCGGTAGTTCAAAGATGAAAATGTTAAAGGAACAGGGGTAACAAGGAGGGGGTTTCATGGCGCAATTTGCGATATCAAAATTTTTGAGGGGTCACATTGTGATGGGGTTATGAATTTTTTAAATGAAAAGTTTCAAAACAGGGGACAAGAAAAAAGTATAGAACAGACCACTGAAAGTGTGATTGTATATGACTAAGGGTGTCCAGAAGGGGATTTCATGGCGCAAGATATGCCATCAAAATTTTTGAGGGAGGAACATTTCGACGGATTTTTTTATTTTTGAGGAGGGGGGGGATTTCGACGGGGTTATGATGGAATAGACGCAGCAAGTGTAATTTTATATGTTCTGTGTTTTTTCTATTTCTATCTTCGCTTGCTCTGTTTTTAAGAAATAGCAACCAATAAAATATCTTGTGAGAATCGGGGGTGGTAGGTTCTTGCGCCTACGACCTCGGGGGTGATGGCCACCCTTGTATATGACCTATGATTTTTAACAATTCTTCTTTCTCCGGCACTGTTATTAGGAAGAGGAGAGCAATGATCGACCTTGAGGGGGTGGGATGGGCATCCCTGTAGAGGAATACGTAGTGATTAGAGGACACTGTTGAGAAAGGATTCCGTTTATAAATGGGTAAGAAAATTAAAAAAATAAATAAAAAGAAAGCTGCTCTTGGAAAGAGGCATACAAAGTGGAAGGTGAGCAAGGCAGATTCTCTTTTCTCTCTCTCCTCCCCCCCTCTCTCTCTCTCTCTCTCTCTCTCAATATTTTAATAAGCTGACAGGATGTCTCTGGCGTTTCAATATTTCATAGTTATTTACCTAAAAATAAAATAACTCATAAAATTAACATATATTGATATAAACATTGTGCTCAACGACTTTCCACCAGTACGTTGCAAAATATTGTGCCTAATGAAAATTTGATAACTTGGCTATTACTTTATTCAGCTCCATCTCCCCTGATAATGTTCTCCTCGCCCACGTTAACCTTTGTGGGGTGAGCGAATTAAGAATAACTGATTTTTACTAACATCGTCGGTAAACGGATTAAAGACATTTCAACTCTGCGTACCAGCAAGGGATATGAGATTGCCCGTAGAGTCCAAGATGATTCTGAAATGAAATTATTATTCAGTCTCTCCTGCTTCATCCAGTGCCTACTAGTGTTGCCCAAAATCGGTCTTGGTCTTGTAATTTGCAAGAACATGACCAAGGCCGCCTAACTGTTGCAAGACCAAGGCCAGGATTGGGAAAAAAAGTCAATTTTATAAATAAAAATTAAGGCAAATAATTACCAATTCTTGATAATTTTAGTTACTATATGTTAATAATTCGTATAGCCAATATACTTTTGTATTTAACTCTTCTAATTTTTCATGCGGACTTAGTTAGGGTTCTCCTATAAAAAAAAATACAGTAATATGTCTATAGTAATAAGCTAATAAGTAACTACTAGACTGTTGCGTGACTCTTTCGCGACCAAGACCATGACCATGACTGAGTTTGCAAGTTGGTCTCGCATTTGGGCAACACTAGTACCTACTAAACAGTAGGTAGCCAGTATAAGCCAGGTGTGAAGAAAAGCCAAAGGTGAAGAAAATATAATCGACAAAAGAAACAAAATTAATTTAAATCTTCATTTTTGTTTGGAACCAACATATTTACAAATTTCAATAAGCTGTATCTTTGCGAAGAATTGTCCGATTTCAATGATTTTGTTTTTCTCCTTTTTTAGACAATTTAGTAATGTTTTATATAATCATGGGAATAACTGAGCGAAAAGTGTGCAATTTTTTAGTTATTCGCAAATAAAGTCTCTTTTCTTTCATAACTTATTTGCCTGAATTTTCGGGGTGATTGGACTATTTTGCCCGCCTGAAGGAGAAGGAAGCCTTCGAAACTGGTGGCTTAATCTTGGGATTTGGTGAAGAATTAACTATGATGTGGCTTCCCGATCAAAAACACCATCGATAAATTATATTATTAATATTACTCCTCCTGTCTCGATCATAGAGACCTCAAGTCGACGAAATGAGACATTTATCCAATGACAGTACTACAATTAACGGCAGGTTGTGTGGATGCGAACTCCATGCCTTGCGTTATCTCGAAAATAGTACGTTTTGGGGCTTAAAAACGCAGGATGCGATAGTTCCGGATGAACTTTTCGGGTCTTGTTGTACCCATCAAAATCTTCAAGGTCCAATTTGTCCCGCATCGATCTACTGACCTACCACCGTTCCGTTATTGAAGCCTAGCAAAATGTTTGTATCTACTTTATTTATTTTAGAAAAACAAAAGTGGAGGATACGATACGCTAATCCCTCGTGAAATTCTGAATCCAACGATACCCCATTCATGTTATTTGAGCATGACAGGAGCTTATATTTGGTACAAAATCGATTTCGATCCTTACTGTAATAATATATGCGGGGATTCGTAATTAAAACCACGTCCTCTAGCGTCCTACATTCAAGAATAGCATCACAATATGAGGTTAATTACGTAAATACTCTCGGATTCTATTCCGAATCGAAGGGTGAAGCTCGATAAGAGGTCATGGCGATAAGATAGAGGAGCATCGGATAAGATAGGAAGCCGACCAGTCGATAGGATGTTCCCGACGAGGCAGCTGACCAGGGCTATGGGCACCTACCTGGCCGAAGAACCCCGCTACTCCTTCCTGTCCAGGCTGGGTATCGCCGCCACCAACCATGGCGTCTACTGCGGCGGCGGCTGGAGGGGATCCGGCCAGGTAATGCCGACTTGATATGATAGCGTTACAGTTGTTGAGTAATAGAAATTTATATTATATAACTAGGGTCTTCTGCAGATTAGTCCCGCCAGTTATTTTTAAACAGAAAAAGTATCTTTTATAAAAAAAAAAAAACTAGGAGGTGCTCTTTAGATCACAAGATAGAAGTAAAAACATCAAGTCGAGATTAATAATACGAAGTATAAATTATAAATAATAGCTCATTATAAAGAGCATGAAATGCTGGATATTTTCCCCGCTCACAATATGTAAGTCCGATTTTTAGTATCTGAGATATTTTAATTCATATCTCCCATACTATTTATCATTTTTTCCACAATATATTTCCTTTTCGGCTCTCCAACACGGCGTCGCGTTAAGATACAATTTTGAATTATAGCCCACTAGTTGGCACGTGCGAAAAATTCGCAGAAAATCTTGTTCAGTGAAGAAATAGTAAAACAATATGGAAATAAATAGTTCCTATGTATTATGTAAGAACGGAATTAATATTTTTTCCTTGATCGATTACAATATTCCATTAAACATAACAAACCAAAATATTTATACAAATTGCTTTGCTAGGATCTATTTTTAAAAGTAATAAAGACAAGATAATGCCCCGATCATAGGATATTCTAAATTATTCAAAAATAAATAAAATGTAAGAACAACCAAATGTCTTTAAGAAATAATAAAGATAATATACAAGCCAGAAAAAAAAATGTAGTAGACTATTCTACTCCTAAATGCAATAACTATAAACAGGAAGACATTATTAAGTATACCAAAACTAATGGACTGTATCTTTGTTAATAATTGTCCGAATTTTACGATTTTTTTTTGTTTTGTAGGTAATTTAGTAATCTTTCTAATTATCATGGGTGCAATCGAGAAAAAAATGCATACTTTTTGAGTTATTCGCAAATAAAGTTTCTTTTCCTCCATAACTTTTTCTTCAGAAATTTCGGAGGGATATGACTATTTTTCGCATATGAAGGAGTAGAATATCTTCAAAATGAATGGTCAATCATTGGCTTTGATGAAGAATTGAAGAAGTTATGGCGTACCGACAAAAAAACACTTTTTAGAAATAATAGATAGGATTACAGAGGAGATGGAATTCTGAACAATTCCCTCGCTTACAGTATGTAGGTCCGATTTTCAGTTTCTGAAATACTTCAATTAGTCGACTCCAGCCGACTTTACCCGAGTGTTACACATCGAAAATCTGACGGCTCAGTCTAATTCACTCTCAACAAAATTTGCAAAACGCGCCTAAAGAAGTCTTCACTTGAAAAGTATCAGTTATATTTGAATCTATTTTGTTATTTTTCTATTATAAATATAAGCATCTGTTAACAAATTTATTTTGTTAGAAAAACAACTCCTTTAGTTTATACTTCAGTTTGAATAACCAAGAGATGGAAACCTTTAAGTTTTGTCAGGAAACAGGAATTACCGACAAAAAGCGCTTCTGTAATTGCCTCATATCTATGTGACTTTGTTATGTGGAGAAGACACTCGTAAAAGATTTGTTTAAGACAACATTACTAAACACCAAAGAGTTTAGACCACGTGAATAACGTTAGTAAAAAAAAAAAAATGTCAATTAGGTTATTTATAATTGAAGCTTTCGATATCATTTGTTATCTTTAACCACATAAAATAGCAAGTAACAATTAAAAAATAACTGGCAGAGCTAATCTGCAAAATACTTGATAACTTTATAGTTATTTATCAATATAGATTTATATTGATAAATTTATATTTATTTATCAATTATAATTTGATGGATAACAAGTTCAATTGAAGAGTTTACTACGTGTTTCATGTTAAACGTGGACTAAATCATTCATTTATTTAGTATTACATAATACACAATAATTGTGACAGTTATGTAACGTGGTCCTTTAGCAGTAACGTTTATGTTTTGGTGCTGCCTTCATGCTCTTCTAGCATGTACGATATCATCGTTACTCGTTACTGCGTCAGTACACGGACTTGCTCACTCCTAAAATACAATAACATACGGGTAATTTCACTTGTGACGAATACGATTGTTGTCATAGACAAATCTTAAAACCTTCCTAGTTTTCCCAACTATATTTTATTAAATAAGTAATATTTTATATTATAAAAAAATTACCAATAACTAACTATGCTCTCTCCCACCACAGGAAAATTCTTATAAAAATTCTAAAACTATCTCAAAAAAAAATACATGGCAAATTCACTAATATCAGAAACACTTCTTCAGTAGAAAATATCTGCTCACATTTGGAATACAGAAGTATATTAAATAAAATAAATTCAAATAATGTGTGTAAATATGAGAATCTGACTTCTCAAGTACAGACGGAATAATTGAATAAAATAAGAAAAACAATTGTGACCTACTCTTTAAACTGCATGTGACCTCCACAACATGTGCAAATTATCAACAAATATAATTAGAAATTTAAACAAGGTTTCCTAGTTTAATCCGTCTATCCAAAGGAAAACCTGTAATGCAAATCATTATCAATCAACAATAAACAATCATTAATGACTTTCATAAAAAAAAGTGCTAAACCAGTGCCCTTGCGGGGTTTCTAGGCACCTCCAGCTGCTAAATGCTTTAAGTCTTATGTTGAGGAGTTTTATTCCTTTGATTTTCTACCAATGGTTAAGAAATTTCGAATTTGTAACTGTCTTGTAATTTTAATTATTAAAAAACATTATTATATTTATTGGATCCGTGGTGCCTTACCCACGCAAAGGTCCTGCTAAACTGTCACAGGTAGGACAGCAACAACGGGCAACGGCCTAAGTAATGAAGTAATTGGAAAGAAAATAAAACAATCGCGGATGATTCAAGAAAAACAATAAAAAAAGTTATTGTTCTATGTATTTTGTTTCATTTAAAAATTGTAATATCAACAAAGTAGTTAGTATAGCATTATATAGTTTGAAATCATTTATCTACCTAAGATTCCTTTATTCAGTCTTACTCCCCTCCTAATATGAAAGTTGCGTATACTCTTGGTCCCCGGACAGTGGAAAATTTTCATGGTTTATCTACAAGAAGATACTAGCGGATCGAGGATTTAATTTTGGGAGGCTTAAGCCCGAATGCTTTTAAATATATATATACCCAGTCCTATCATAAATATTCTTACAAGGAAATATACAGATTTCAACAGAAAAATAATTTGTTTTTCAAAACTTTATTAGAAAATAAATGTATATCTATAGAAAGCATAACAAAAAAGAAATTACTCAAAATGTCCTCTTTTAGCCTAGACACAGGCATTTAATCTCTGTGGCCAATCATCAATAGAAGCACGTGGCAGAATTGAGGACAGCGCTCAACTGCTCGGACCAGAGATTGTTTGAGGCTTTCCAAGTTAGGGTGTGCTCTGTAGCATGCATCCTCTCCAGTTCGGACCAAAGCCGATAATCTAGTGGGTTGAGATCAGAGCTTCCTGAGGGCCAATCCAAGGCAAAGATGAACTCTGGAATGTTCTTTTGCAGCCACTGCTGAGTTGGCCTGGCCTGGAGCAGAATCCTGCTGAAAAACCCAATGACTTCCAGCAAACAGAGTATCATTCAGAGGCTTGACAACAGGTTCCAAAATATCTTCCTGATAGTTTTTAGCGGCTGTTTTAACTCCTTTTTTTTTTTTTTTTACAAAAATGGAGCTTTGTGGAGCCATCAAACCAAACTCCCCACCAAACCATCGCTGAGGAAGGGTGATGACCTCTTTCCACTCTTCCAATGGCTTTCTGGGCTTCTTTAGAGCTGTGTGCGTACACACGATGGTTCTGAGGATTAATATATATGTATATTAATCGCCTTAAGGATATTAATTACCTGAAGGATGTGACTAGAAAATTATATATATATGTATAATACGATAATTACTTTGGAACGAAAATAAAGAAACTAACTACCTTGATGACATATGGCATTTAAGTGATTCTTGAAGTCCTATTAAATGCAATTACACGCACAATAGTACTTTTAGAGAAAATTGTTTTCATAAGACATGGTTATATTTTACCACTTTGGGTGGGGTGGGGGTCTTCAGCCCGAAATTTTAATGGCGCAACTTGCGCAATGAAAACCCCTTCTAGGCACCCCTAGACCATTTGTATACTAACGCCTCTAACTTCCTATAACTTGTACATAAATCAAAGCAATCGTTTTTGGAAAATAAGTGTATCAATGAAAATAGCATCCGAAAATGAAATCAACTTTTCGAATGTAGTGAATCAACTTTTATTAATCCATGACTTGTATTCATCCTTCCAACTTTGGACCAAATCAAACACTCGATTTTTGGAACATGAGCGGACGAAGAAGACGTTTACACACACGTGAGATGAAGTAAAATTTTAGGTTTTTAAATTTTTAGGTTTATTCAAATCGATAAAATTGGTACAACATCCTTCTTTCATATATTTTCAACCATTCTCTAATTAGGAACCAAATCGAGCTATTTTCGCAAATTTTTTAGCATGTTAAAGAAAATAAATAGTTGTGGATAGAATTTGATGAAATCGATTTGTGACCATCTAGGTTCCAACCCACACAATCCTTGAAAATTTCATAAAAACCGGAGTTACGGTAATTGGAGATATACCAGTCACATAGATTGGTCTACAGACAATCTAATCTAATGATAAAGAACCTTGTTACATTTCAAATACTACTCTACATAACGACTTAAACACCCCAACAGTAAAATCCTACAAATACACTACATTTCATTCTTCAACCTAAAATCACTCCAATCCTCTGGTTCTTTCTATCTCCTGCTCCCTGTTACCTGAACAACGCAGATTAAAAAGAAAATGACCAAGAGATCTGCTATACCAATAAAAACCATATCAAGCATAACCATATCTACAGACAATCAAGAACCAAATTTGTTTCTTGAAGTATAAAGTGTAAAACAATACTTCGAAATTTCCGAACCACTCCCACGAATACCAAACTTCTTTATCGTCGGCTTT